CTCACAGAAATATATTTTTAAAATGCAACCCTACTAACAATTTTGCCACAGAAAACCACTAAAGCTTTGAGGCTCAACTGGTACTGAACTGCAGCTGCAGCTTTTTGCTGAGGCCGGTGCTAAATGAACCCTACCTTCTTGAATTTTCAGGACTAATAATTTCTTTGAGCAGCATTATTGAGAAAGGGTTTAAAGCACGATATGAACTTATCCCTATTTTTATATCCTCTTATTATATCCTCTCCATATGTATATAATTTCAGACAATTTTTAACAAGTCTGTAAATGAAAACACACCATAAAGACATTAGCTAGGCCTCAAGAGTCTGTGACAGAGAACAATAAGAATTCATTCTGGTAACTCTAACAGACATACTTGAGATATGATTGTGTGGGAGAGTAATGCCAGCTGTTGTCCACTAATGATCTCATAATCTTATATGTATGCAATGATCTTTTTTTATTTATCAAGGGAAAGACACGGCAAATTGACCTAACCAAGTAAATAACTTCCTGAAGACAAAGCTGAAGATACATTCTGCATTAACGAAGAATACTTATCAAAACTAAAAGACTAGTAAATGTTTTCCTCTCTGTGAAGAAAGAGCATCAAACAGTTCACTCTGCAGAGTTGATACTTGTCCATGCTGAACTGTTCAGCAATAAACAAAGAAAAATATTTCCATGGGGTCTTCTCTGAAAATCTTTGTTAAATAGATACACACAAAAAAATTTACACAGGCTCATAGCTCTCCATGTATTCTATAGATGTCTCAGTACAGGACCTGGTGAAAAAACCCCCAAATCCTGTAAACCCATTTTCCCTTACCAAGTGTGTTGTGGGCCACATGCAGTGGCCAAGTTCCATCAAGTAGTGCCTTAGTTCCATGGTGTGTTTTACTGAGGAGTACTGTGCTGGATCGTCTCCACTCTGCACCAGCATAAACATGAAAGAGGTGTTTTGGTAGCCTGTTTCAGGTACCAGCTCCCAGCTGCTTATGTGGGATAGTTTTCAGCCACATTTTTTCCTTTATCAGTTCCATCATGAAGCCACAACAGCACAAGTGACTGGGGAAGCAGAAGAATGAGAGTGAAGGGCCAAGGATCAGGCTGGGAAGGAGTGGGAAACTGCTTCTTCTGGAGCATTTGTGGGTTTTTATGCTTACACATCAATAAGAAGAGTGAATAGGAAAGGAGACAGAAGGCAATGGCAGGAATTAAGTCAAATCTTGACATCCACTTCATTCAAAGATCCTCTATCCCCATTATTCCCTGAAACCATTCCTCTCTCTTAAAGGGGAATAAGGAAGGGTCTCTCTGAGCACCTTGGTAATTAATGACCTCACTCAGAACACTGAAGGGCCTTCCTTGCCTAACACAATTTGATCAAACACATCTTCTCATGCTCTAACTGGTAGGATGATTCCTCCTCTCCACATGTTGTAACTGAGGCAGGGTTGAAAGAAGGAGTGGGTGAAATCTGAAACATAGTGACTAAGGTAATTGCTGCAACTGAAATTGAAAGAGTTCATGCGCAACTCCAATTGATACTTTGAATAGAATAATTTAACATTAATTATAGGAAGAACATACCGCCCAGTACTTCTACATTCATGTCAATGCCTGTACTAGAAAGATATTAGGTCATGTTTTTTCGGGTTCACTTTGGGATATTTCCATGCAAAACAGAGCTGTCTGACTCAGAGAGAGCCCTGCAGCAGCTAGAGCATTTTGCTTGCAGAAAGATGCATGCTCAGACAGAAAAGAGATTTGAAGCCCAGAATGGGACTTCTGGGTGTAACATCAGGCAGAAGATGCAGCAAGTGGCATCAGCCTTCTCACCCATAGTGCATTAGGCTGCACATGAAATCAAAGGTCATCGCTGGCCAGCTCCACATCCTGATAGGCCTGACACATGAGCACTATGAGGAATAACTCACAGCTGTCGAGACCAGAACACCTTTGCCAGGTCTCAGGTGCAGACCTAGACGCACATCCATATTGGGAGTATTCAGAGCAGAATTTCTGTGGAGTGTAACATGCCTATGCAAATCTAGCTAACTGGTCAGATGTTCATAGAATCATAGAATGGTTTAGATTGGAAGGGATCTTAAAAGGCCATCTAGTCCAATCTCCCTGCAATGAGCAGGGACATCTTCAACTTGATCAGATTGTTCAGGGCTCTGTCCAACCTAACCTTCAATGCTTTCAGGGATGGGGCATCCACCACCTCTTGTGGGCAAGAGTTACAGTGTTCCCCCACTCCCATTGTAAAACAAACTTTTCTTTATACTATCCTCTTTTAGTTGCCCTATTGCTACAGGTCCTGATAAAAAGTTTTTCCCCGTCTGGAACAGGCTGTGCGTGAGGGAAGTGGTTGAGTCACCATCCTCAGAAGTATTTGAAAAGATGCAGATGTGGTGCTTAAAGACATGTTTTAGTGGAGGACTTGGGAGTGTTACACCAAACATAAGAAACCTGAGAAGCGCAGGATTAAGTTTAAAATTCCAAAATTCTCAGTATCCTCAGGATCTGCAGAGTCTCAGTAAGATGCACAACTTTATCCTTAAGCTCATGTCCTAGTGCTACAGTTGTAATCATACAATTAACAAAACAGCTACATTTTGAAGACTCACTGAAACAAAGCTTTTTCTTTGCACGGTATCACTTTCAAGTCTGTTAAAAGTTGATTGGCACACCTTCCTCAAATCCTGGGTTTTCCTGCAGAACCTGCCCTACTACTTGGCAGTGCACATAATTTATACGTACCTGAACAATATGAACCTGCTAATTAGATGGGTTGTTTGTGGTATAACTTTGAGACCAAGGCAACGGAACAGGGAAGAAATTCTCAGGTTTAGTAATGAATGTTTCCAGATTATAACACACAGCTTTTTCATTGAATGGGATATGAAATATTTTGAGAGTTTGTTGTAGTTTAATGTCTCAAAGTGTACTAGGAATAGGACATATGAGACTTATGTTCATGTCAACATGCTGCCAGAAATACAAGCTTTTCCCATTGAGATGCACTAACAATGATTAACAGAAGGAAATCTAAACTCAAATGGGCAGTGAATTAGGTATTAAGCAAGTGAACAACCATCCTGACAGAATAATTCTCTCCACTGTGGTAAGATCAGTCAAAGTTTTATGTAATTAAAAAAAATAAATCTGATTATGCAGCCAGGCACCATCAGTATTCTAAGAAAGTTAAGCACATAGTATCTAGACATCAAAATGTAAAGTTTTGATTTACGGTTAAAAACCAAAGTGGGGAGCAGACTGAGTTAAATACTACATTCATGTGGTACAGCTTTCACTTTTTTTTTTTTTTTTAATACTGTGCATTTTTAAGGTACTGCTCTTCAGATTTATTTCAGCACTTGGATAAAAATCACATGGCTCTCTAAAGCCATAAGTGAGCTGGAAGACAATGCTGATGGTAGCTGACAAAATGGGAAAAATAAATGAAGTACCCCTATTTGGTAGCAATCCTCTCTCACTTCTAGAGAAAGAACAAATGCCAGCTCAATTTCAGTGAAGATTAATAACTGATGAACATTCCATAATAATCTCATCAGACTTGTAAAACAAAAAATACACACACAGAAAAACTCCCAGGGGTCAAAATCTCCACTGCTCTACAGTGAACATATTAATTCACAAACACCTGTGTCTGCCAAGGTGACTCTTAACATAAACTTGCCTGAAGAGAGCAAAGTGATCCCCCAGAAATCAACCAGCTAAATTACCAGCTAAAACAGCTGAAGAGGCGCGTGTCAGACACTATAAACAGGGCATCTTTCCAAAAGACATTCTGTGTGTATGTTTTCTGGTACTCCACAGCTCAAGTTCTTTTCCAAGTTTGTATGTGAGCATGGAAGCTAGAAAAATGCCTTTGAAACCTCTGACCTCTGCTCAAAGTCAAGATTTTCCATTAACTTCACCAAAACTTTTATTTTGAGCTCCCTATAGCCTTTAGGTTGCTTTTTTTCCCCTTTAGGTATTTTGGGTTCGTAGGTTTACTGTGTTGTTGTTGGGGATTTTTGTTTTGTTGGGGTTTTTGTGGGTTTCCTTAGGGTTTTGTTTATTTGTTTGTTTTTGTGTGGTTGGGGGTTTGGTTGGTTGGTTGGTTGGGGTTTTTGATTGGCTAGTTTTTGGTTTTGGGGTTTTTTTTCCTGCTTTTTGCGAAACAGTTGCACTGGTACTGCCACCGCAGGATCTATTTATCTTCATCGATGAATCAGCAGAAGAAGACCGAAAAAAGTCACTAGGTAAATGTTTGCACATGGGTTATTTGAATAAAGGAGGCTCGGGGGTGACCTTACGGCTCGCTACAACCGCCTGGCAGGAGGGTGCAGCCAGGTGGGGGTGAGCCTCTTCTCCCAGGCAACCAGCGACAGGCGAGAGGAAACGGCCTCAAGACGTGTGCCAGACGAGGTTCAGTCTGGACACGGGGAAGAAATTCGTTACAGAAAGCGTGATTAGATATTGGAATGGGCTGCCCAGGGAGTCACCGTCCCTGGAGGTGTTTAAGGGCTGGACTTGGCACACTTGTGCCATAGTCTAATCGATATTGGAGGCTATCTGTCATAGCTCGGACTTGATGATCTCAGCGGTCTTCTCCAATCTAAGTGGTTCCGTGATTCCGTTTTCGATTCGGAGGACGCCGCGCACCCCCGCACAGCCGCCGGCAGGCCCCGAGGCCGCAGTCCGGGACCGGCCGGGAGCCCTGGGGCGGGGCAGGGCAGGTCCGGCCCCGCGGAGACCGCGGCGGCCCCGCCCGCGGAGAACGGCGCTGGAAGGTGCCCTCGGCTCCCGCCGCCGCCGTACGTGGCCGCCACGGCCCCGGCGCGTGGAACACGTCCCTCCCGTGATTGGCTGCCTCCACATCAGGCACCGCCCTCCTCGGCTCCCTATTGGTCAGTTTAGCTCCGGTGCTGCTCGCGCCGCGGGCCGCGAGGGGGTGCGCGTCCCCGCGGGGCGGCACCGCGCATGCGCCGCCCGCCCCTGGCCTCTCGCTCGCAGCTTGTCCCCCCCGCCCCTCCGGCCCCGCGCCCTGGTCTCGCGCCATGGCGGCCGCCGCCGAGGAGCCGTTCCCGTTCCACGGGCTCCTGCCCAAGAAGGAGACTGGCGCCGCCGCCTTCCTCGCCCGCTTCCCGGACTTTGACGGGCGAGGGGTGCTGCTGGCCGTGCTGGACACCGGCGTGGACCCCGGGGCGCCGGGCATGCAGGTAGAGCGGGGCGGCGGCGGCCCTGGGTCACGGCCGCTGCCCGAGAGGAGCTCTCAGGTCCCGCCGAACCCAGCCCGAGAGGACGGGGACGAGTACGAGGGTGGCCATGGCTCTCTGGCGGCCCGAGGCAGCGGCGGCGGGAGCAGGGGAGGCCCCGAAAGGCTGTCCCGGGGACTGCCCTTTCGCGGGGACTGTCCCTGTCCCGGAGACTCGTGGCTGTGTGCTCGCTCGCGGTTCCCGCCCAGCACGCGTGAGCGGGGGCTCGGGTGCGGGAGGGCGGGGAGATGCCGTAGCCAGGGGCTCCGCGCCGGTCACTCCGGGTGCTGCTGTGAGGATCCTCCTAAGCCGTCCACAGGCGTGTTATGGCACTTAAATCTCTTGTGCTGCCTTCTGTCACGCAGAGCTCATTATAAAAGAACGCTTTGTGTTTTTGTTAAACCTTAGCATTACTTCGTCAGTAGGTAGCTCGAGGCTACACACAGCCGCCTAGGTAATTTACATGAAAAGTGTATTTCTGGCACAATTTGCATACCCGTCTTTATCTCTTTATTTCTCGTGCGTTTTATTGCAATAACAGTCTGCATCAAGTTCGATTCTGACAGCTTTCTTTTTTTTGGTCTGCCAACTTTGTGTCTCCATGTCTGTTTTGTAAATTTCTGTGTGTGATGTCGGTTTGGGCATTTCTCAGTACTTACTTCTTTTAACTCTTGTCTTTTAACATTTCTTTATCTCGTAGGTTTGCATATGGCCTTTTGTGTCACTGCTGTTTTTGATTTCTTATCAACATGTTTTCTCTGAGTTATAGCAGAAGAGTCCATGGAAGAATGATTCGGAGCTGTATGCAGCTCACTTGGATGCGGAATCCTTTGTTTTGTTTTGACTAAGCAGAGCTTCTGTTGATTTCTACCCTTTCTTTGGTGTAGAATTAACTCCTAATGACCTCATTCAGGGATCTGACCCTGACAGATCTGTAGTTCCGTGTTCTGAAATGATTCCTTATGGGATTCGGTTAAACTAGAGAATGAGTTAAGAGGACAGGTTGGGTGGAAGGAAGGAGTGGACAGCTGTAACTTTAATTGATTTAAGCTGAAATGAAGCTGGTGCTTTTGGCAAGAAGTTGTGGGTAAGTGGAAGAGTAATTGGAAAGCTTAATGAAAGCTAGCCAAATGGGCAGATTAGAAAATAATGGAAGACAATTAGGAAGGTGTGAATATAAATTGAATGATGTGCATAGTTCTGAAGTTTCACATATAAAAGCAAAAACCCCTAAGTTTCTAGAGATTATGAATGAGTAGTGGTCAACAACAACAAAACCCCAATATGAATTTATTGGCAGTAATGGGAAACTTTGTTCTGATCTAGGTAACCCAAGTCTTATAAGGGCTATTTATGATCTCCGTGTTGACCATATCAGTTTTCTCCAACTTCTTTATGCACAGGATAAAATTTCAAATAGTGCAGTAAAAGATTTGTGAAAGAAGTAAAGGATTTGGAGGGCAGGATGTGGAATTCATGTTGCAGTGGGTGAAAGAGAGCAAGTTTTCAGGATTGTTAGAAAAACATGTAAAGAAGTTGTGCGATCTTTCTGCACGCTTAATAGACCTGTCTTTAGGGGCTTGCTGAACTGCAGCCTGGTGAGACTTACTGCACAGGGAGTTAGGAAGGAGGCATAGGTAGCACCCAGTCTAGAATAGCTTTGTAGGTGTTTCTTCAGCAAGAGAATGTCCTCACTCTCTGGAGTATTTGCCAGTTCACATTTTGCCTTGATGCAATGAGTTAGTGTCCTGGGCACAGGCAGTGATGCAGCATAGCTGTACTGCAAGAAGTAGTTTCTAACTTTGGGACGATTTTTGGAATTATTTTTTTTTTTAAACCCCTGTCTTTGCTGCTGCTGCTTTTTCTTACTGTCAGTTTCTAGCCTGGTATAGAGTTAGATCTATAAGAGCTGAATCAGTTGCTTAGAGGGTGGAGGAGACATTATCTATAGCAAGGTTAATAGGTGTTACAACTTCTGGTTAATGACAATAATTATTACAGGCTAAAATTAACTACCATGTTAATATAGTGGAGATCTTAGTCAAACAAAACAGTTTTTTTTTTTGCTGCTCCCTACTGTGTCATTCCTGGGTAGGGTTCCTTTGCTTGTTGAATCTGACTTGGTTTGTAAACATTGATAAGCACTGTTTGTTCCCTTTTCAAGGGACAGAAAGATTTGGGGACAAAATTTAACAGGGAAATACCATTATGTTCCTATTCTTCCCTGGATGTTTGCTGCTATGGAGAGAATAGTTGTTAAGCTTAACAAACCTTCTTAGATCTGTTGCCTGTTGGTTGGCTTTCTTTGATGCGTAAAACGTTAATCTATCTTGTATTTACTTACTTTCCTTTTCTTTTATGGATCTTTTGTAACCAGTGCCCTCTAGGGAATTCCTTTCACCTCCTCTTTCATTGCTTTTCCACCAGTTGACAGCATCTATAAAGTTTAGTTTGTCTGCTTCTTTCATGTGAGTTTTTTCCCCTTTTCAATCCTCTTGGTAAAATGCATTTTCTACTGTCTGCCAAGTCATGGTTTGTAATTCCTTATTAACGCACAGCGACTGATCAAATTTTAGGTGCAATTAGTGAAGTGTTGTGGTTGTACATGTGTAGTCTTTGCTCAGTCCCCACCCTGTCCTTTCCCTGTTCCTGCTGTGGCTTCTTATGTTTCATGATAGATGAGCCAGTTCATTTCTCTTCTTAAAAATTCATTTATTTTATGAAGTGGCATTTGGAATTATTGTTTACTAATATTAATTTGTACTTTCATGTGACAACTTTTTAGCAGTAGCAGCTAGTTTGCTTTTATTTGCATTTCAGCACTGAGCTAAAAACAAATTAGTTGGAAATTATTTTATTTGTGATTATGATGATCAGCTGTCCTGTCACCAAAGTGCTGAAGAACTTGTTCATCTCTTGTGGCTGCAGTAGCTGTCAGTTGGAGCGAATGATTGTATGGGCTGGCAAAAACATGCTCAAATTCACCTGGCTTTCCCTTTTCTGTTGTAATTGTCATAGGTACTGGTGCTCCTCTACTTCCATTATAACTGATCCGTTGCTAGGATTATGCACCATAGATTAATTTTGGTGTTCTCAGTTTACCAATTTATCTGCTTTACAAAGTCAGAACTAACATGTAAGTAGGATTTTCAAACTTCAGAAATGTATAAACAGCAAAGTAGTTTTCAGTTTTAAACTACTAATTTGTTTTTCAAATGCCTATAGGCAAGCCATTATAATTAAGGCAGGAATGGGGATTTTTTTGTTTTTCTAAATACAGTATAAAATATTTTTAATTGTATAAAAATTCTTTTTTTTTATTTTAATGCGAAAGGTACTAAAACGTACCTTCTATCTGTAATCAGTTCATCACTTCAGGACTCTTCTATTCACATAAGGGAGCTGATCAAGGTCACTTGATTATTTTTTTTATTATAATTTTAAACTCAGAATTACAAGATTTGCAAAAGAAAATGGAGCTGAACTCTTGAGTTTCACTCTGGCGTTGCTGCTGGTGGGCAGTGTGCCGAAGAGCAGTTCACTGTAGCAGGAGATGCCGTATCAGTTACTTGCCCTAAATTACCATGAACCTGTCTGGATTGCTGCTGTTAGGAATTGAACCTTAGACCAGCTGAAACTCTGAGTTTCTTGTGTCTGACTGAAAGACTCTGATTTGTTGCTTCTGACAGTACAAACTCACGTGCATGAGTGGCATGTGTGGACCTGCTAGGTTTCACCTAGGAGGCAAGGAGCCATAATGTGTAGGAGTTCCACCTTGTCTTTTGGTCTAGGAAACAACTTCTAAAACTACCCAAGCTTGCTGCAGCATAAATCTGTGTTCTGGCCACCTGTTGCTGTATAACTTGCCTCCTTCAAACAAGTCACCTTGGATTACATTTTCATTCTTGTTTTCTTGTACTTTGATCACTGAATAGTTGACTTTGAGTAGAGGCATATTGAAAAATATCCAGTGCTGCTAATCTCAGGTTTGGCTTGCAGTCGCTTTAGTATTGGAGCAACTCCTGACTTTTGTGTGAATTGCAGCCAACATTGAAGACATTAATTACAAATGTTTGTAAAGTGTATAGTTTATGCCTACACACAGTTTCCCAAGTAAATTTTCACTACTGTGTAACTGTAGTTCAGTCAATGTTGTACAAGGTTAAGATGCTCTAAAGATTTTTTTTCAGTGAACTTGAAGTTCTATGAACGGAGTGTTGGTTTCTTGTCATGGAAGTTCTTCCCTAGCAAGCCTGATCAAAAGGAGTATTTGTTACCTTCTGGGAAATTAAATTGGTACTGTTTTTATGGTTGCTATGGGTTTGGAATATTTGGGATTTGTTCTTTTTATTTTTTTAAGCTGTTTAAGCCTGTTTTCATGCAAGGTGTTGCTTGTTACTTGTCTGGGTTGGCTTTTTGGTGTTGGGTTTTCAGGAGTTTTTTCCTGGGTTGTATGTGTTTTGGTTGGGTTTTTGTTGTTTGGTTTTTTTTAAGCCATGAGAATTTGATACATGGAAGTATCAAATTTTTTTTGTTTGTGGAGATGAGATAAGAACCTGGCTCTTGTCCTTTTGGCAGTATCAGAGTGACTTTTATGAAACTGTTTGAATGTTTCAGTAGCTTCCAGTAGCTGAATTCGCAATTCAGAGCATTATTGGAGCAAAACAACCTTCCATATATTATGTCTAATATGAAAATTATTGATAGAGAAAAAAAGCATATGTTTAAATGGTAGGAAACAACAAATGTTGCTGCTTTTCTGAATATGAAGCTTTTTTCACTTTCGGTGTAGTTATTGTATAGAACATACTAGGAAGATGATTGATTTTTTTTAATCAGTGTTTGATATAGAACTGTAAAAATATGTACATATGATAAATTTATAGAATCATAGAATGGTTTGGGTTGGAAGGGACCTTGAGAGGCCATCTAGTCCAACCTCCCTGCAAGAAGCAGGGACATCTTCAACTAGATCAGATTGCTTGGATCCCTATCCAACCTGACTTCGAATGTTTCCAGGGATGGGGATTCCACCACCTCTCTGGGCAACCTGTTCCAGTGTTTCACTGTTCTCACAGTGAAAAATTTCTTCCTTATAACTAGTCTGATACTCTGCTTTAGTTTAAAGCCATTCTTCCTTGTCCTGTCACTGCCTGTGCCTTGTAAAAAGTTGCCTTCAGGTTTCTTATGGGCCTTCTTTAGGTCCTGGGAGGCTGCTGTATCATCTTTCCAGACTTCTTATAGATGTATTAGGTGCATATAGCCATAGCTTCTAACGGTGCAAATGGATTAAAACGCAAAGCAGAATCTTTGAAACAGGAAAAATAAGGTAATAGTAACTTGTGTTCCTTTTAGGTTCCTTTAAGCTCATTTAAGAGACTCCAGCTTGTGAGAGTTTGTACTTCAGCACCTTTCATCTTCTTACTTGTGCTCATTATTATAAAATTTATCCAGAATGAGGGGTTAGAAGCAACACAGGAAATAATACAAAAATAAATAGTAGTTCTTGCAAATTTGGTTTTTTGCAAATTTAGGCTTCCTTTTAATTTGAGGCTGCCTGTGCTTTGTTGATACAGTGTTTTTACTTTATCTTCTAAATCTTTATTAGAAATAAGTGGATTTGTATGAATCAGAAAGATGGACATGTTTGTCTTAGTTCTTTGAAAATTCATCTTGAGCTCAAGTTGGTATTATGTCCTTCAGTTAAAGGTTGGGTGTCTGAGGAAGCTAGTTGATATTTTTAACACTTTCCTGGTTTGTGTGCTAAGGGGTAATTAAGTACATTTTCAATTTTTCTGTGCTCATATTTTCAGATTACAACTGATGGGAAACCGAAGATAATTGATATAATTGACACCACAGGCAGTGGTGATGTAACTACATGTACCATTGCAGAACCTAAAGATGGAGAAATTACTGGTCTTTCTGGAAGAATTTTAAAGGTGAGTATTTGGTGGTACAGAGACAGCACTGGACATCATCTTCTCTGCTTAACAGCAAATTTAGCACCTGTTTCAGAACTACCTTTTAACCAGATGTTGCGGTTTAAACCCAGCTGGCAACCAAGCACCATAGAGCTTCTCACTCAGCCCTCCCCTGGCAACATGGGGAGAAGAGAATCAGAAGGGTGAAATTGAGAAAACTTACACATTGAGATAGACAGTTTAATAGGTAAAACAAAAACCTTGCATTCAAGCAAAGGAAAACAAGGGATCCATTCACCACTTCCCATGGGCAAGCAGGTATTCAGCCATCTCCAGGAAATGAGTTGAATATAAATGCCATCACTCTGAATGGCTCCCCCCTTCTTTCTTCTTTCCCCAGCTTTATATGCTGACCATGATGCCACATGGTATGGAATGTGCCTGTGGTCAGTTGGGGTCAGTTGTCCCACCTATGTCCCCTCCCAAATCCTTGTGCATCTCCAGCTGGACCACTGTTTGGCATGAGAGAAAGAGCCCGGAAGAGAAAAAAGCCTTGACTATGTGCAAGCACTGCCCAGCAACAGCTAAAACATCCCTGAGTTACCAAAAGTGTTCAGCACAAATCCAAAACAGCCCCATACCAGCTACTGTGAAGAAAATCAACCCTAGCCTAGCTGAAACCAGCAAACCAGATCTTACCCAAACCTAATGTTGCATTTGCTCATCTTCACGCAGTTTGCTTAGTGTTTCCTACACTTTTTATACAACTTTATTTCTAGTATTTTCTGAAGCTGAATAGGAGTGTGTATAGGGCTTTTTGGGTGGCTTGATGATTTGACAAATGATTAATTATTTGTTCAAAACAGTATCTGATACAGCTTTGGAAATTGTCTGAAGAAAACATGCTAATATGCTTTAAAAATATCAGACACAGTTGTGTCTTTAAAAGTGCTAGTATTTTCCACATTTGCATAAGCTACAAGAGGGATTGTGTTAAGCTTGTGGTGAATAGATTTAGAGTCTGAAAAATCTCTGAGGACCTAGTGGTAGACTCACTGAATTCCCACTATGCATAGAACAGAAATGATGTAGGGTTTTCAGAAAGGACACAAAATATAGTAGTGGTCTTGGGTACACAGAACTGATGTTGCTAACATGTTCTTGATTTCCTCATTGGATTAATGATGTCATGTGGGGGCATCACGTCTTTGGATCTCTCCATGCTGTCAGCTTTCTTACTAATTTTGCACGGAGGATGATTGTAAGGTTGAATCTGTTGCTCTTTTACTCTTGTTACTAGGATGAGTGGATCCTGATACACTGAGTCTAAATTGCATCAAGATGTGAAATGAGATATTCAGATGTTTGTCATGACTTTCTACCATACTGGCTCATGTTAGGTTTCATTTATGGTGCTATTATTTCTCCAGGTCTCTACCCAGTAAATTCAGTAAAGCTGGGACTTTGTGTTTTAAAAGTAGACTGTCAGAAGAATTAATACTTAAAGATGTTTAATGGCAGTGTCACATGAACTGATATTGTTTTTTTGGGAACTGGATTGAAAGTGCCATGTCATGTTGTTGGAACAGTGCAGTAGTTACTGTTATGGAGACACGGAATTAAATTGGCATTATTTGTAGGTGTGTTCTGCTAAGCTGTCTTACACAGTGCTGAACTGCTTTGTTTGTGGAATTTTTTTAGTGCCATTAGTTAACCTATTTCTATATATACTTTTCTGTAGATTCCAGCAAACTGGGTAAATCCTTCAGGCAAATATCACATTGGCATAAAAAATGGCTATGATATCTATCCTAAAGCTCTTAAGGAGAGGATTCAGGTAAGGAGGAATTATCTTTTCTTTCTGGTATATAGTCATACTTTACAGTTCTGTAGAACACCACAGCATGTGATTTTCTAACATGCTTAGGCTGCTAACCAGCAGTTGAGCACTATTCTCTCTGATTTTTATTATTTACATGATCCATTTCTTCTGTGATTTTTTTCAGAGCAACAGGAGGTGGCCTAGTGCTCCTCCTCACAGTGGTCCATTGAGGTGAAAAGTACGAAATTACTGATACGCCATTTTTTAAATTTTGTGGCAATTTATGCTTATTTATACTATTGTATGGAACTTTTTAGTCATTTCTCAAATCAGAATTTTCAAATTATCTTTATAGACTTCATACTTTGACATGTATTTCTTAATATATTGAGGAACCTCTATTCTATTTTACAGAAAGAGCGCAAGGAAAAGCTCTGGGATCCTGTTCACAGGCTGGCTCTAGCAGAGGCCTGTAGGAAACAGGAAGAATTTGATGCTGCTCATAGCTCTCCCTCACAGGTTTGCATTAAGTCTACCTTTATAAACTTGTTCTTTGCAACAATTTGTTACTGGTTGACAGGATTAAAATGTTTCATTAGATGAGTGAAGGAAGGGTGCTTGTGAGTATTTTAGCAGATAACTTAGCAGTGTATATTCTGATGAATTTTATAAGTCTTTATGTGTGTAGTTGTTTTGTTTGCTCTTCGCTTTTGAGAGTTGGTGTCAGATATGAAACTGGTATTATATAAAAAATTGCTGGATGTTTTCAGTAAATTTTCTTTTTAATTTAATGTGCTATTTTTTGAGGCCACCATCCTTGCTGTGTTCAAAGTTGGAATTTTCTAAACATATTCTTTCTTTCATAAAGTGTTTACTATTTCAGTGAAATACCAGAAATGCCTCAATCTTTATCATTTAACAGTCTTCAAGAAAATAATGGCTTTAAATGTTATATTAACAGAAATCAGAAGTAGTTGTACATAATAAGTGAAATATAAATAGTGCACTGTTGAAAACCATTTAACTTCTAGATATTTGTGGCTTCTAGGATAGTCTAACATTCCTGAGAAAGTAGTGGGAAAAATGTATAGCACTAGAAAAGAATGTAGGATTACCTATCTTGTAATAATTTTTTAAATACTCTAATGAATTTTGTTCACCTTATTAGGTAAATAAGCTAATAAAGGAAGAACTTCAAAATCAAGTAGAATTGTTGAATTCTTTTGAGAAAAAATACAGTGATCCTGGTCCAGTATATGATTGTGTAGTGTGGCATGATGGTGAGACCTGGAGGTAAATGACTAAACTTGTCTAAAATGTCTTGTTCTTTACATAAAACGATCGCTTGCATCGAAGACCTGTTACCTTTTGTATTTGCCCTCTTTGTAGAGGTTTTAAGTATTTTTCACTTTAAAATTATCCTGCTGTTTGAGTTGAATTTCTTGACAAAATTCTGGTCCCAAATGAAGATGGCATAAAGTCTTATTGAAGACAGTGTGATATGAGTGTAAGCTTATGGGATTTTTCTTCTGAAGCAGAATAAATCTGTTTTGACTATCCATTGGTGATATGATAAAAAAACAAAACACGTGTCTTTGCACAGACTTGAGAATGTAACATGGCACATTTCTTAACTGATAATGTGCATCATACAAAACAGTAAAACTTCAAATATTTGTGTACCAGCACTGAACATCTACCTTTAGTAAAATTTCTTCCTTGAATTTGCATGAATTTTCGTACTCTTGCTTTTCAAATACAGATTTATTTGAATTTAGTAGTGTTTGCAAATAAGTTTATTTAGATAACTTCATAGTTTCTGAATCTTCAGTAGAAACAACCAAGTTTTAAAGTAGTTGCTTAAAGAAATTTTAAAGATAACATACAGAACCAGACTTCTTGAGGTCTTTGTGCTATGCTCAGCTGGACAGGGTAAGTAACCAAAGGTTTGCAGCAGTTGGGACATTACCTTTTTGTTTGTTTGTTTTTGTCAACAGAGCCTGCATAGATACAAGTGAGAGTGGTGACTTAACTAACTGTACAGTGCTGAGAACCTACAGAGAGGCTCAGGAATATGGATCTTTTGGAACATCTGAGATGTTGAATTATTCTGTGAATATATATGATGATGGAAACCTCCTTTCCATTGTGACAAGTGGAGGTAAATGGAAGTCATCTTAAGAACATTTTGCTGCTAAGTTGGTATCATGAGAAGCAGTAATTTATATTGGGTCCTGTTTCTGATACTTGGGATGGCTCAAAGCAGCTGTCATAGTACAAGCATCTGTTATTACGGGTTTTAAGATCAATACTCATATTTCCTGAACTATATCTATAATGATAGCTCATTGCCAAGCTTGCTTGCATTTTTGTATGAAATATTGTCAACTTTATATATACATAGAATGTGCATACTTAGGTACTCTTTAAGATGTTCCTGCATCTTAAAGCCTAAACTAAAGAGAACCTTCTTTCAAAAAACATTTTTTGTTTTGTTTGTTAAATATAGAGTGATGATTGATTGATTTTTAGTTGCTCTCCTTCGTACTCCTACACTTAAAATACAATAAATTGTAAGATAATAAATTTATACTTAAATATAATATCCATGAACAAAATGGGTAATGATCTTAATTTGGGTTTGTACAAACTTTTTTTATTATGTCAAGTGTCAATATAGCTGTAGCTCCAACCTCTGAACCTGTTTTAGAGTATTCTGTAAATAATCATGATTTATTTTGGAAGCAAATGGAGTGGTTAGGATGGTATGGATGCATTTGCTTTGAAAATGCTCTTAACTCCTCATGACACTATCCCATATCAGTAGAGCTACATAAGCAATTCAGGTTTCTAAATAGATGGTAACTTTTTTGAGATGTTCCTTTCTGTTTCTGTGCAGTTCTGTTTTCTATTCTTAATCCCTGCTACCTGAGCTGTCTCAGGTGTAATATTCATAACTTTGAGTAGGAAGTGTTGAGCTTTCGAAGTAACTTTTGTTAGTGGAATTAAGTTAATACTTTGTTCCTCTCTTTCTGCTGCCTCCTTTCTCTCCTTAAAAAGCTGTTTGCTTTGTTGAACCTCACAATTGGCCTCAGCCTATTGATCCAGCCTGTCCAGATCCCTTTGTAAAGCCTTCCTATCCTCCAGATGATCAGCATTCCTGCCCAATCTGTTGTTGTCTGCACGGTGACTGAGGATGCTCTCAATCCCCTTGTCCAGATCATCAAAAAAAAATATTAAACAGAGCTGGCTGCACTTCTGAGTCCTGGTGAACACTGTCACCCTTTTGGTAGCATCAGCACTGGTGACTGGCCACTGACTGGATTTATGTGCTTACAACTCAAAAAGAGAAAATTAATTGAGCTGTAGCATACTGAGTTCTTATAAATGAAGTCCACTAAAAATGCATACTTTTCGTTTGCACAGGAGCACATGGAACACATGTGGCTAGTATTGCAGCTGGATACTTTCCAGAAGAACCAGAACGAAATGGTGTGGCTCCTGGAGCTCAGATTCTTGCAATTAAGATTGGTGATACAAGACTAAGTACAATGGAAACTGGCACTGGTCTAATAAGAGCTGTGGGTATTTCACTGAATAAATGATTAATCTCAGCAGTTTGACTTAAGTATAAAATACTGTGAAACTTCATGCCCTTTTTGTCTATAGGCTTTGTTTTTATGGTTCTACAGTATTTCCAACAAAAATATCAAAAATTAAAAAATCAACCAAGCCACCCAAAAAACAAAAAAACATCCTCAAGCAAAAATAACACAGCCAAAACCCATAAAAACAACTAGAATGTATTTTAAAGCATATTGTAAGATTAGTGTTTTAGTATAAAACAAGACTTCTGTTGCACAGAGCACTTAGAGTTTCTCTAGGCTAACACACTTGCAATGTCTCGCTAGCTTAATGCATGAGAGAAGTTACTTGCCTACTTGCTTAAAGTTCTTTGTGTTGTCAGTATATCTATTATAGTTACTTAGATAACTGTAGGAGACATAAAAATCTAGAATAGAGACAAGTATCTACCTATGTTGCTGTATTTGTGTTAACTCTTTCTTCAGAGTGAGGAAAAATATCGTTACTTTTAATGATGAAAGACCCAAGAGCTTTTCTGTATAATGAGTTTATAAAGAAAAATTTTACACGAGAAAAGGATCTGAAAATAGAAGACTATATTTGTGGTCCATGGGATATTTTGATGTAGCAACATGAACAATAATTTTTTTGCAACTTTTTGTAGTTAAACCAAACTGTATCTGAAAAGAGAATTTTATGTTCTTGAGACAATACTGATGATGTTTGCTGTCTGCAGTTTTCTCATAGGGTAATGTCTTAATTTATAGCTGGGAACACAGCAAGAATTAGGCTTTTCAGGGAATAGTTTTTTTAAATTTTCTTTGTTCTTTGGGAAAACAGCACTTAACTGGCTGCAGTAAATTATTTTCTAGATTCAAGAGATTTATCTGTATTTCTTAGATGTAGTAAATCAATTTAAGTAGATGTCCGCTGTCATTCCTGAAGTCACTAACATTCTTTGACTAGCACATACTATAACTTCCATTTTTACTTTACCAGATGATAGAAACAATAAAGTACAAATGTGATCTTGTCAACTACAGCTATGGGGAAGCGACACACTGGCCAAATTCTGGGTGAGTAGTACTGTGGTTAAAGTATTTTAATTTCACAGAGGTGGAATTGTATTTGTTGGGCTTTCTTTAAGTTAACTAGTGACTAAGAGTTAATCATCCAGGCTCGTATGATTCATATGTTAGAATATGTGCAGTATAAATTTTAAATTTGCTTTAAAAGAAGTAAACCCATTAAAAATGCTTTTAATTTATAGTATGTGCACAAATACATAGTACACAGATTTATAATATTATACGTATTATACATACACAAATAGTATTTCAGCATAATAAAGAGCTTCCATAATTGCAACACCACATGAGCTGTGGGGTATTTTTTGAAGACCTAGGATCACTACATAGTTATCACTCCTTTTTGAAACCAGAAGATATTTTTGTGGTCAGCTTCTGTCTTGGAACTGCCTCTACTAGGTGTGGGAAGCAGGCTGCATAATATTCCTTGTTTGTTGAATGGTCAGAGGTTGTACACAGAATGGGAGCTTTGTCCTGTGAAAGAAAGCAATATTGTTGAGTAAATGATTCATTTCTTTCTCTTACTCCAGGAGAATTTGTGAAGTGATTAATGAAGCAGTGTGGAAACACAATGTAATCTATGTTTCAAGTGCAGGAAATAATGGTCCTTGCCTTTCTACAGTTGGATGTCCTGGTGGAACTACATCTAGTGTAATAGGTAAATAATTAATTTAGAAAAAAACTTTGACAGTATTCAACTTCTGTCTTTTCAAACTTTGTACTTTTGTTACAAGTGTAATTACTGAACTAAATCTACAAAATTGCCTGCTGGGCTACAAGGTTAATTCTGAGAGAGACACTTGCTCTAAACTTATGTATACAAATTTAGATTGTTATCTTCTTACAATTCAAGACCTTACTTGTGTAGAAAAGATGTGGGAGGCAAATGGTCTTGATCTGATATGGCTTTGTATAAAATTTGCAAAATAAATCTTTGGTCTGTCTTACTTGAATATTTCAGGATTAGTTTTTCAACTGTAATTGTCTAAGCACACCACTTTGCTCCAACCAATACCTGCTGGTAAATGCAGCATATAAAAATATGATTCTAAATTGAATTTTCATTAGTCTTCTGGAAAGTCTGGCAGTGCATTCTGAATTGTCAGAACTACAGTTTTGGATCATCTGTCTTCATCAGATACTCTGATTTTTATTTTTAGTGAAACAGATGTTTTTAATTTGGATAGAAAATAATTCCATGTCAGAATCTAGACAAGTCCTTGTAGGGGAGGAATTTTTTCAGCTGCAGTGCCACTGCTGTGCAAGTCTATTACTGTCATTAAAATTCTTTTTCTGATGGGCTAATACACGGTTTTGATATTTTAGTGAAAGGTTGAGTTACAAGATTTAGCAAAATGTCTAGCGTTCAGGTATCATTTCCTTAGTCTTAATTTTTATATAAATCCTTTATTGTCTCACTAGTGCATTACACAAGATGCTTTTTAAGTCTCAGAATTCCTATGCAAGGAGGCCAGTGTGTAAGGAGACTAGCATGAAGCCTTGAAAGCTGGATAGCTGCTATTCTAGGGCTTCTAGTAGAATTAATGCTATTACTTTCTGGAAGTTATTCTGCTATTAATTCACTGCTGACACTGGGGGTTGTAACTGGAACAAGCTCTTTCCAGGTCAGCACTGGCTTTGCTTTTACAGTGCATCTACTCTGTCAATTCAGCTTAGTTGTATCACTCTAGAGACTGTGTGATTATTCACTCCACATGCCAAGTAGCTTGCTCCTGTCCTCCATCTGGAGTGAACCAGATAGAGTTTTCATTTTTTCATGGTAAAGCAAAATACAGCTGACAGGTTGGCTTAGTTCACACAGACATGGGCCTTGCCAAATTTGTCAGCTTGGTATGGTAGTTTTGTACTACCCTGGTAGTGCTTGTGCTGTAAACAAAGTGGAGTGTTACCATCTTGAATAGGTAGATGACATAGTTCCAATGTGTATACTTGGCATTCTCTTGTACAAATGCTACTTTATCAGGCTTCGATGTAGTCATTTACATACTCTGTGCACTTGGAACCAATACCCTGTAATGACTGTCCCCTGACTGCTTGAGATGGGTGGATGTGGCCATTTGCTCCAGGGGGTGTAGCTGAACATGAACAGGAACCGATTCACATGTATTTGCCTGAGGTGCATTTGTTGTAGTGTGTGGCAGAGCAGTGTAAGCAGAGGAGAGGGGTGCAGGAGAGAAAGAAGGCACATACAAGTTACCTGTTGTGAAAGAAGTGCAGAAGGTTGTATTCCAGCTGAATAAAAGTGAAACTTTAAAGTTTGCATGATTTTTTACTATTATACAGTGCGCCCATCAGCATTGGTACTGCATAGCATGATGCGTTACACTTGCCTTGCAAAAATATCCAGATTTAATGAGATGGAAAATGTGTTTCCATTTTAAATGTCAAGCAAGAATTCTTCTCATAAAGAATTTAAACTACAGAAGTATTTTACTTTCGTTTTTAACAAAAATTCATATTACATCTAAAACACTTGAATATTTTTTTACAGGTGTTGGTGCCTATGTGTCACCTGACATGATGGTTGCTGAATACTCTCTGAGGGAAAAACTGCCAGCAAATCAATACACGTGGTCATCCAGAGGGCCTAGGTAGGTTATATTCCAAGAACAAATTGATTACTTTGGGGTTCAAATGGCATAACTCAAAATCTAAAATTGGTCAGTAATACCAAAATAAAAATATTTCTTTCCTGTGGAAAGAGCATAACTAGCCTGCTTTTCTGGTAACACCTTTGTATGCTGGGCTCTAGAACTCCTGGAGGAAAGGGAATAGCATGGAACTGCCTCAGCATAGCCTGTATTATCTGGGAAAATATTTGGGTGCAGATCTATTCAAATATGATAAAAGTTACTGAAAGTTGGGGTTTTTTTCATTTATTTTTTTCTATACCATTCATTTCATTAGGTTAGTGTGGTGAAAAATGTGCTATAACTGATGAAGATAAAAATAAATACTGTTACTGCAGTGGTGTTACTTCTGGCTTCAGTTACATTACTGGGATGGCATTACTTACTCAAGGGTTTTGTTTGAGTTCAGTAGAGGTGTGAGTAGGCAGAAAAGTTTATTTCTACCTTACATTACAGAAATTTTTTATATATATCTGTAAAAGAAATTTCAAGGGCAAAGTAAACTCCAATTTTTGTTTCATGTCTCAGAAGCATCTGATAGTAATGTGATAGACAAAGAAAAAAATAGTAACATCTCTTCTTGAGTTCTTGCCTGTGTTTAGACTTAATTCCAGTTCTCTAGCTGTTATGGTGTTTGTACATTTACAGGCAAGTATATTGTTTCAAGAATCTTACTATGAAGAATTGTCATGTTTTATGTAGGGAAAAGAGAAATGTGCTCTCTGCCTTCAGCTGAGAAAGGGAGATCAATTTGTAATTAATTTTGATAGACATGCACAGACATATATAAAAAAGTGATATAGATCACTTTTTGAGTGCTTAGTCACTGTGCCCTGTAAAATAATCAGCTGAAAGGCCTAGTCTGGCCAAAGGAGGATGTTTATGTTTATGTCCTTGTTTATGGTGCAATGTGCGGATGACTGAAGAGTTCCTGAAGTTTACTAGAACAGTCTTGGTGTAGGGATTAGTAGTAGGATCTCAGTAAGCAGCCGAGGCTTTCAGGCCAGTGTGCTGTGCACTGCTTGTCCAGAGGTGTTGGGATGCAGAACCTTTTTATGGGTTTATATACAGCTGTCATAAAATATGTCCAAATATCACATTGCAGTATAATACTTAGAATATTCTGATTTCAGATAGTTTTAGACATATGAAGCTATTAGTATGGGATATAAGTACCCTAAAATATCCTGCCTGTCTATAGAACTTAATAACTTAGGCACAGGGCTGTCCTTATTCAAGCAGTGCAATTTTTGTCTATCCAGAGCAAGAAAGATGGAGCATATCTGGCTTATTGAGTTGAAAACTAGATGCTGCGCTAAGTGTGTCATAGGCACACAGTTGCTCTGTTCTTCAGTATGCTTGTGAAAGAAAAAGTGGGGTTTAGGGATCAGGCCTAGCTGATCCTGACCTACCTCTTGACATTGCTTTTTATGTGTTCTCCCCTTGCCCTCTTGTCTCAGGCTTGTAATTCAAAACTTGACCTGGTAATGAACTGTCAACATGCTAAATTAGAAGTCTAGGTCTTGGATCTTTTCTAGCCTTCCTTCCCCTATTTTTCTTTAGAAGTAATAACCATTAAATAAGCTACATGGACTACTAGTTTATTTATTGAAGTGTTCAATAGGTTGGTTTGTGTGCATTTTGTAATTCAAATCACAGAAAGTATTCTGCTGGCTAAACTGAAGCCTGGTGGAGAATATTGAAGGAGTGTGAATTTAGAAACCTCTCACCATAAAACAGGCACAGCTGATGATTAACATGACATTTTAAATTGTTACTTGGTGGCATGCTTTTTCTTGGGTTTAAGGGGTTTAATGGGTTTAGTGAAGTAAAGCGTAGCGAATATTCTCTAAGGTGAGCCTTTTTTCTTTAAAATGAACTGAAAACTTTATCTTAAAGCATGCAAAAAAAACAAATTGGTGTCTTAACTGTTGTTTTTTAACACTAGCACTGATGGAGCCCTTGGAGTAAGTATCAGTGCCCCAGGAGGTGCTATTGCTTCTGTTCCAAACTGGACTCTGCGAGGAACACAGCTCATGAATGGCACATCCATGTCTTCTCCCAATGCATGTGGAGGCATTGCATTAGTACTGTCAGGTAAAGTGCTACAATATTAAACATAAATACATCATCTAAAAGAGATACTTTTTTCTCTTTAAAAAACGCTGTCGCTTTCATATTTTTTGCTGTATCCAGTAACACCTTATTTTTAATTTCAGGACTCAAAGCTAATAAAGTTCATTACACTGTTCATTCTGTCAGAAGAGCATTAGAAAATACTGCAGTGAAAGCTGAAAACATAGAAGTATTTGCACAAGGACATGGTATTATTCAGGTACTTGCAACCAAAAAAATAGTATAATATAAATAACTGCTGGTGAAAAACTAACCCATAAAAAAAGCGGCTTTAGAGGTGATCTCACTCAGTTTGTTCCATGCTACTTGATTCTAAAGTCTCATGGCGGGAGAGGAAGGGAATGTAGCAAGAGGGGAGGAGGAATGAGAAGGTTCTTCCAGTTTCAGCATGCAGTTACTGTAAAATAAATGTGATAACTGGACACATTCTTAGACTGATCAAAAAGATACATGGACATAAAAGTAGGATGTAGTAGGTGTTTTCATCACCCACATGTGGGTTTGGGTGCCTAAATTCTGTATTAACGTCCAAAAATGTTTTGATGTATCATCAGAGAGAGCTGAACTTGTTCTGTCCAGACAAAAGCTGAGACTGTAAGTTCTGAGCAGTGAAAGCAGATACCCATGCTGGTTCACAAAGAAGTACAGCTGCAGTTGTATGGTGGCTTTGCTGCAGGCCTGCACTAAGCAGTCTGAATGCTCTTCATTTCCTGTGAGCTTCAGAGTAGTTTGGAAATCTGTGATGTGATCCTCTGTATGATGAAGGCGTACTGAGTGTCTCCCTATGCATAAGCTTATGTTCTTACAGAGCTGGGACTGGTTTTTGTCTACAGTCACTCCTGAAAAATCACAAGATTTTTCTCTTGTGCTTCAAGATGCCAGATATTAAATGCTTACCCAAAACTCACATTCTGAAGATGCTAGAACCTAGTAGGTAATGCCTGTTAAGCACATCTGTAATGCTGAGATTGGTACAGAAGGCAGCAGTGGTGGTAGCCATATCAAATAAAAAATAAAATGCACCAGTCATACTAGATGTTTTAGTAGCCTGTGATTAAATCACATGTTAAAATGTGATTAGAATTTGATTGGGAGACAAGGTGTTGTATGTCCATTTGTCTCAAAGGAGGGTGCCCTAGTCTTCACTGATGAAAGTACCTTGATGGCATGTAGAAGACAAGTTAAGATTTTTGTCGTCAGTAAAATAGCAAGTGAGGTAGAAGGGTATCTTTTTAAAACAAGAAGGTGTATTTGTCATGTGAGTTTGTTGTGGCAGCTCATATACTTAGACCCAGGGCTAGATTTCATGACCTGATCGTTCTACTTCATATCAATATATAAAACTTGTATGGGTATTCCACTGCTTGTCTCATTTGAATAGCTCAACTTCTTATATAAAAGTTTTAAATGTTTTAACTACTGTTGCCTCGCCTATGAAAAAATCACCTAAATTAGAATTGGAGGTTTGGGCCTTAAAGTCCTCTTCTTCAAAGTCATCTCTGAATAGGAATCTTTTGATGGATTTATAGCAGAGGAGACTTGGCCTTGTTTGTTTTTTTTAAATATTCTTGGCTTTTTGGGCTCTCTGTAGCTATTGCAGACTGCAAAAATTGCCTCATTGAGTATCGTGCGATTTGCATGTTGCTCAGGTAACATGTGAGGTACTTCACTGTTTGTTGCTGTGCTTGCTCAACACTTCATAATCAAGAGAATATGCATAAAGTGCTATTAAGTTGAAATTTGTTAATTTAGAATTTGCTCTTTCTAACAGGTTGATAAAGCCTATGACTACCTCGTTCAGAATTCATCATTCACAAGTAACATCGGTTTCACAGTTACTGTTGGCAGCAACCGTGGAATCTACCTCAGGGATCCAGCCCAGATAGTGGCACCATCTGATCATGGGGTTGGCATAGAACCTGTCTTTCCTGAGAATACAGGTAGGAAAGAGCTTTTGTAGGTGGAGATGTGGAGAAATACAAATGTCAACTTGAAACAAAAAGTCATCATAATGAGGAGTGATAGGAATCTGTACTGTAAAAAGAGTCAGTGTAAGTTTCATGGTAAAGGAAGATGTGCAAATAAACAACTTTTCCAGTCCAACCTCAGACTTGCATCTGCAGGGCTTTCATGTTGTTTGAGTAGACTGTTGCTTCATGCTTCTTCTCACTGAAAAAAAGATCTCTCTGTTCTGTAGAAATTTAAAGTCAAGTTAGGGGACTAGGAAGAAACAGAAGAATAATCATAGATCCCTGATGTTTCATGAAATTACAGAATTTTCAGTTTTTTTGTTGTAGATAACTTTTGTTCTAAAGAAGAAAGCATTTACACAGAAATTAGTTTCTCAGTTATTTAAAGACTATAAATTCTACATTTGGAATTCATCTAAGTTTCTGCAACCTGAGAAAAATCTTGTTTAACAAATTAGACTTCCATTCAGTATTTAATAATTAATAAAGATATCTAAGGGCAGTACAGGAATTTATATGGATTTTATTACTAAAAGAGTAAAAAGAACTTGTGCAGATTAAAATAAGGTTTGACTTTTTTTTTCCACAAATCCTTTTTGCCTTGCTTTATTTAATAATAATTGGAACTCACTGAGAGGCTGAATTATGTTGTATTCAAAAAGTGAGCCATGTGAGATCTTGTTACTGGGTTTATTCCTTTCCTAAAACCAGTGATCAGTAAGAAGGTTGGCATGTGACAGAGGGATGAGTTTATTTAGGGGCAGAAAGGGCCTGAATTAGGGTACATTACTGACTCTGAATAACTTAATTGCCTGATATCTTACATTGCAATCAGTGCATTTTTAATTTAACATGTGACACAAAATAATTGTTTGCTAGACTTCTGCAGGAAATAAGCAATATAAAAACAATTAGGCATCGACAGTGGATGACTGGCACATAGTAGTTGTAGATGCTGTTTCCCTAGTTTTCCCTAGTACCTATTTTCCCTAGTTATTTTTGTGCTGTGTCTGGTGTATTCAACAAGACTGAGTTTGAGAAACTGTAAATAAGGGAGGCTGATTGCTCAGTTTGAACCTCTCTTCAAGCTTCTATTGCTTCTCCTGTAGTTACAATAGTGTGTTCTTTTTTGTGCTTAATCTAGATGTGATGAAATGTCTGAAAATTAAGATGAGCTTAATTAGGACTAAGAAACAGGAAAAAGTTTTCAAAGTGACATTAATCTTTAGAGCAGGAATAAGCTGCTAATAACTAAAAGATTTCAACTGCCCTGGATGATTTTCTGGAAGCTGTGCTTTAATGCATAGCATTTTTGGCATGGAAGCTAATTTAAAGAATCTGCCAAGATTGACTGTTGGCAAAATCTGACTAGATTACCATAGTAATTTTAGTAGACTTTACCTCTTGCTTAGTATGCTTTATAATGTAGTTTGGTAATAAGCATAGCATTCAGAATCAATGTGATTGCTTTTTATGGTATTTCTCTTCATTAGGCAACACTTTATCTATAGAAGAAAGTTTGTATCTGCTTCCAGACTATACTGTGGATAACTGAAGCCTTGCTTATCAGCCTACCTTTGACTTTGTCAGGTTTGACTGTTCTAGGGGCGAGGAATTTCAAATACCTCCTGGGTACCACCTTTATTTTACTGCCTACTGCTGCTGTTCTGTTTTTGTCAAGTTAAAAGAAGTCATAGAGTGCAGAATCTGAGATCCAGGGGCCCTAAGGAATTGATTCCTGTTATATTTTACCAATGTTTATATTTTATTGGCAAATACTGTTACAGGGGACTATGTGCACATATTTGTGTTATTGAATTGTTTTTATAATTTGTTTCCTGACAGAAAACACTGAAAGAATATCTCTCCAGCTTCATTTAGCTTTAACTTCAAATGCACCATGGGTCCAGTGTCCTAGTCATTTAGAGCTCATGAACCAGTGTCGGCACATAAATATTCGTGTAGATCCACGTGGCCTGAGAGGAGGAGTACATTATACAGAGGTATGGAAGTACTGGTGTTCTGAGCAGGATTTTGTGCCCTTGTGTGCCCTTATGGTGTTTCTATCAACTTTTTATAGAAATAATTTATAAGAAAATAAAATCTCTGAGCTTTACAGACCAGAAGGTAATGCCACACTATTTCACTATACAGAGGGAAGCCGGGGATCAGCAATATATATATATATATATATATACGATGTTGTATATACATACCTGTAGAACTTTGAGTATCTGAGTTTGCAAAATAAAAGCATATAGAAAATATAAGCCAAATAAATAACCATTAAGTTTTTTTTCCTCTAGTGAAATGAGTCAAAATGGGAAATACATCTTTTTTCTTCAGTGATTGTTGATGTGTTACTGTTTCTAGGGTGACAGTGGTCAAACTCAGTGACAGCTACAAAGACTCAAAAGACTCATTTAAGTTTAATGTTGTCTTCTACAGCTGGATTTTGACCAAAGATTTTGAGTTGTTCTATTTTGTTTTGTTAGGTGTGTGGATATGATACAGCAATGCCTAATGCAGGCCCTCTGTTCAGAGTTCCAATCACTGTTGTTATACCAACAAGGTAAGTAAATTCAGAACTCTGAGAGTTCCTGAACTTTCTACAAACACCTGAAAAGATTCTTACAGCAGACTTATGCAGCTGTGACGTTTTTTATAGTTTTGGTTGTGACAGCAGTGTGTCCTGGTGGGCTTAGCCACAGTGGCAGCAGTTTCCTGGTCCATCAGCATACAGATGCCTTCTGGCTTGTTGACCAAAGTATCAATCAATGTACTGCTCATATGTGTAGGTCAGCTGGAGTTCGGTTTTTCATTTCTGCCTGGTGACCTAGAGCACATAGAGTCAGAGGGCATTATTTGGCCACTGTATACATTGGGATAAGCTTTGATCATGACTTCAATACAATGAGTTTAGAGTTGGTATTGCACCCATCCTTGGTTTAAACATAAGACTTAAGTGGTGTTGATAGGGAAGGAGAGTATTTTATTAAACTTGTTTGCTGGACAATATGCCCTGAGGGGTAAAGACAAAGTAAATGTTCTCTAACTCATTCAAGGAAATATTGCTACTTCCATACCTTAGCTCACTTCAGTGGCAATTCACTCAGTCAGGAAAAGCAGATCCACTGAAAATGAGGATTTTGTGATATTTCTGTTTAAGCAATATAATTTCAAGAAGGTGGGGAAGGTGTTTACGCAGTGTGGTGAAGCTGATGTTTTAAATCTTTTGGATATGTTGTGCTGTCAGATTCTGTGTTAGTAGGATTAAGATAATTGGTGTTAAAAATTAAATATCCTTATTGTACACATTTTTAGAGTATTTTTGCATTTTAAAATGCTTTAAAAATTGGCTTCACAGCTTGTTTGACTACTGTTTGTGTTTTCCTTTTGACATACAGAGTAGATGAATCATCAAGCTATGACCTAACACACACAGATGTTCATTTTAAACCTGGTCAGATCCGAAGGCACTTCATTGATGTTCCACAGGGAGCTACATGGGCTGGTAAGGAAGATAACCACATTAACTAAATTAAAGATTGCATCTGCCAGGCTTGACAAAGTTAGTTTTAAATAATTTTGAGTTCTGCCTGAATAAATACTGAAGGTTTTGGCCCATGAATATGTAAATATTTGTTTGATTCTTAATCTCTTAGATGAGTGATTTTGAGTTATTTCACAGTTTTTGGTATAGTGGGATCTTGATTCTAAATCTTAAAGAAACCAGCCAATAACAATCTGAAGTGGTTGCTTATACCTAGAGGAATGCCCCATGTTTAGGTAAAAGTATCAGTGTCTGAGGCTTACCTAGTTTTTAGGGTGTATAGATGTAGTATTGGAAGAAGTCGTAACTGAAGAATATGTGATTTTTCACAATGGGTAAAAAGCTCATAATTTCGCAAGAAGGGAAAAAAAGGGTTTTTTTCCCTTGTCTTTCTTTGTGAGATTACTAAACAATAGACCTTTCAAAAATCTTTCATTTAGACTGAAGTTAGTGATAAGACTCTTAATTTGGAATTCAGCAGTCTGTCCTATACAGATGATACATATGTACTATCTGATTAACTTTGACCATTTAATTGAGAATTATTTCTCTTTAACCATCCTCTGAATTTAGCTGGTTTTCCTTTTACCTGAAAGGGCTTTTGAAATTGATAGATCAGCATCCATACATGTGGAGCAACTTGGGGTACTGCATAACTTCTTAAATTACAAATTACATGTGAAAGTACTGTTTGTCTGGTGAATCTCTGCTTTTCTTCTAAAATTGTTGTGTCTTCAGACTAAATTTTCTTTTTTTTTGATCTAGAAGTGACAGTGTGTTCGTGTTCAGCTGATGTGACTGCCAAGTTTGTGCTTCATGCTGTTCAGCTCGTGAAACAAAAAGCATACAGGAGTCATGAGTTCTACAAATTTTCATCCTTACCAGAAAAAGGCTCAATTACTGAAGCATTTCCTGTCTTAGTAAGTTAGCTTAGGGTGGAATAAATAAAGTAATGTATAACATATAATATATAGTAATATATCGTATATGTATAGTTATGTACTGTTATAGCATATAACAGTTTAATAACATAACTTATTTGGGATTTTTTTTTTCCTGAGAAAAGCCTGAAACCCAAAACATCGTGTGCTTGTTACAGTAGTCAACGCATTTGATTTTCAGTTTTGAAAAGATCTTTAAGAGCTTGCTAATATTTCTGAGCTATTTTGTGATGTAATACACATTAATCTCTTGAATTTGTTTGTACTTGTTTATACAAAGCAGTTTGTTTCCCTTTCAGATAGGGGCTATGACTTGTTGAATAGTTCAGTATATTTTGCCTTTAGTGGTTAATGCGGTACTCTGGGACATCTTCATCTTGAAGCCACGAGTAACTGACTGGCTCACATTCATGCATCCTAGGTACAGGAGTCTTTGCTTGGATAATGCTAGCTCAGGAGTCCAAAACAGTCAGGGAATGAACTAACAGTTCAGGGGTGTGGATAACAGAGCCTCCTTCTCAAGTTTGTCCCATTTTGCTTAGTTTAGTTGTATAGCTCTAATGCCAAAGAGTAGTTATAATTTTTGTGTGATTCGGTCCCTTACCTTCTGGAAGTATCAGGTGGGGGACCATAAGCTATGTTGGTCCCATTGACACATTATGAATTTCATCATGTTAGTTAAAAACTGAAAAAAAAAAAACCCAGAAAACCCCACCAAACAGACAAAAACAAAACTAACCCAAACCTCTTAAGTTTTGCGTCATCTTCCTTAGTCAGAGAGTGAGATCTCTTTTTCTAATACATGTTTTTTAGGGGACACACTAAATTTAGATTTAACTAGATTTAACTGATCTATGAGCTAACCTGTCTGCCTTTCTTGAGGAATAAGAATGGAAGACAGAATATTTAAAAGCATTACCTTTCTGTGCAGGGTATACCCTGGCATTTTTTGTTTTGAAGCCTTTGTCAGTCATGCTGTTTTGTTGGAATTGTCTTGTGTTTTTTGAACCAAGTATAATGTCTTACTTAATACTGTACAAATCTATACAACTGGAGTAAACTGGGCATAAGGAGTCTTTTTTGAGTTGTATTCTGATTTTTTTTTTTTTAATTTTTTTTTTTTTTTTTTTGGCTTGGATTTAGGGAGGCTGGGGTCAATAGAAGAGGAAGATGGGACCTGGAATCTAACTTTCTGCTTTTGTTATCCAGGCTGGAAAAACCATTGAATTTTGTGTTGCTCGGTGGTGGGCAAGCCTTAGTGATGTTAGCATTAATTACACAATTTCTTTCCATGGTGTACTTTGTGGTGCTCCTCAGTTAAACATGGTAAGTTTTCCAGAGTGCTTATATAGAATTATTGTGAAATCCTATGGTATCTCAGAAAAAAAAAAAACAGCTTTTCTTCCTTCTTGTCTGTATTTAGAAACAATAGAAGTGTTTTTGTATGTGGGACTTTAATGTTCTCTCTTAAAAATTGTTAAATAGGAGTTCAGTCCCAGAGAAATCCCAGTTACCATTATTTATGATTTTTCTTCTATGCCTTTTCATTATAAACCAGTAGTGAAAAAAGGAAGAGAAAAAATCTGCAAACAAACAACCTAAACTCAACACCAGTAGAAAAAACATACTAAATGGCTGAAAATATGCTTACAGTACTAAGTGTTTTATATAAATAAACTTTGCTGGGACCACAGTTCTCCAACTTGAATATCTAGACTACCATTGCTAAATAGTAGTAAATAGTAAAATAAACGGCATTCTCAATACTATATTGAGAGTAAAATTTTGTTAAAATTTATTTTCTGTTCAGTGTTCTGTTGAGATGTCATAGTTGGCTTGAGATGCATCATTTAGAGCAGTTGAAGGTACAGTGGGTAGGGCAGTGTTATGATTCCTAATGGTCTTTGATACTAAAGGATTGAAAAAGTTGCTTAAAATGTTAGTGAGATAACTACAGTACTTTGTCTTAGTCCTGTGTTCTTTGCTGTCCTGTGCAACCTGGCTTGGCTTGACCCTGCTTCCCTCAGGAGAGAGCTCTTTGAGAGCTGGTACCTACATGAAGCAGTGCCATGCTAATCTGTCTTGGCTCTTGCCTTTTTTTTCAGCTAAAGGCCACAGCAAATTCTAGCTGTCCTGTGGGTGAATTTGGATGTATTCAGGCTCTAAGAGTTAAATAAACTGAGGAAGAAATAGTGGGTGCAGTGTGTTAAGGTACCAGGTCTTGAATGGTAGAACAGAAAAAGAACTGTTCGTGATGGTGTGCACAGAAGCTGCCCGCAGTCCAGCAGGATTATGCCAAATGAATAATGGACAGTGAAAAATAGAAGAATACAAATACTCTTGCCCTTCCTTTTTGAGCATCAGTAACTTTCATAAAATCATTTTCAATAGTGCTCATATAGTAGTGTTTTTGTCATGGGGTACTGCTAGAAATAAACTTATCAAATTATTTTGCCCATCACCAGGTCTGTGTATGCAGTATTGTTTCTCTTTTGCAGAGTTAATCTGTTCTGTAATAATAGTCCTAGGAAGCACCATAAAATACTTGTTTTAATATTCTATATTGTATATATTGAATTAAATATTGAAAGTAAATCACCCTAAATGCACAAATTCAGTCCTGCCTGAAGTATGACTTACCAGTTCTGTACAAAGTATTTAAATTAGGAAGGGAAAAAAAATCCACAACTGGAGCTTAAGTTTTATTTGTATGAGTTTTGCAAGTCCCAGTATTATCTGCTGTTGTAAAATAGAGATGCACTTGTGACACTTTCCAAATTACACAAATGACAAATTATACTTGAAGTATAAATAATTACAGCTTATGTTGTGTTTTGAGGGTCGTAACGGGTAGTCCCCATCTGATGTTGCAAGTGCACAGAAGCATAACTGTTCTATACTCCTCTTCTAGCACGCTTCAGAAGGCATTGTACGGTTTGATGTTCAGTCCCTGTTGAAATACGAAGATATTGCTCCATGTATAAATCTGAAAAGCTGGGTTCAAACGCTCAGGTAGAGTATCTGGAGAACTGTTTTGGGAGACTGGGAAAACTCCTCATATGTAGAGTTAAAACAGTAATACATTAGCAGTGAAATTCAGGATTACAAAAATATTCCTGTCAAATTCAAAGTAGCTTTGGATGCATAAATTAATTTGTCAGCATTCTCTTCTTTGTGGTGACTTTTCCAAGACAAATTACTTTTCTTTAAGCTAATTTGAAAGATCAAAACTTTACAAAAATATTCCATTGCTTCCAGACACTTACAGATAAGAGGTAGTTTAATATCTAAAGAAAAAATTTGTAGAGTTATTGGAGTTATGTGCTACTGTTTGTTGTCTTGTTTGGTTTGGTTTGGTTTGTTTTTTTTTCCTAAACAGCTGCTTGGGATTCTGCCAAATTTTGGCCTGGGAGGACTGTCCTCTCTCTCTTGCTTGACTAAAAGTGTTTTTGTAGAATCTGGTGCAGATTTTTGGGGGGAAAGCTGTGTTTACCTTGTTAGTTAGACACATGCTGATTTTTTCCTCTGCTGGAAAATTTCTAAAAGGTGCATCTGTGATTAAAGTTGGTCACTTCAGAAGGATAAAGAAATCCCATGTGGTTCAAATGGTACTTTTGAGATGTGGGACAATTTCACAGTAGTCAGTAATCCAAAGTTTTCCATTATTTGGGCCTGTCAGTGGGGAGCTGGGGCTCTGTCTGGAGCTTTTGGGTACTTGTAACTGAAATTGAGGTTGCCAGGGGTTTAATGAACATATTACCTAATGTTAGATTCAGAAATAATCCATTTGGTGTGCCCTAAATGAGGAAATAAAGCAGTCCCTCAACACAGCTTTATCTCATTCTTGGTTGGAAAAATGGAAGTGCTCTCTACTCCTTGTAAGGCACTCATCTGACAGTAAATGAACTGCAATTAAGTAAACTATAGAGAAATATTTATGTATTTAAATTAAGGCAGGAGTAGGATCTCTTGAATAAACTAATGAGTCATAACACAGAGGGAAAATTAATGAATGGCTTTTCATTCTGTCTCTTGTTTCAAATGCTTGGAGGCTGGGTGAATGTTAGGGAGGCATATCATGTCTTGTGGTATTACTCAGTTCTTAAGGCTCCTGTCAGCAGTCTATCCAGTGTCTGCCAGACTAGGAAACCTGGGTTAAATGGACTTGTGGGCTGACCCAGCACCCATATCTAACTGGGTGACTAGTCTGTGTCCTCGGCAATGAAAGACCTGGCAGAACCTTAGAGACAAATTCTGATTATGTAGTTAGAGGTTATCTGCTTTAATGAATGAAATGTAAACTTAAATTATGCCAGACCACCCTGATTCTGCTATTCTTTATTTCTGAAGCTTTGATTTTTTCCTATATCATTTATTATTTTGTTTGTATTCTTTGATGTTTAAGGTCTGAAATGTTTGGCTGCCCTGAACTTTGGCTGCTTTTCCCAACTGTATCTCAGTTAACATATACACTCTGTAGTGTACATTCTTCTGTGTTACTACTCACATTTCTGTAAGGCTTCTTACATTCTCTGAAGATACAACCTTCTGTAACAAAGAATTATCAGTTGTTCTGTCTTCTAATTGCAGTGCCAGTAGTCTTTCAGTTACAAATGCAAGTGTTGATTTCAGCATGGATATTAGAAATGCAACTTGATTTTTTTTTTTTTGCTTAAACTTTTAATGGCCTTTAATTTTGAGAATTGAGACATGCTTACTACATTGGCTTCTCTTTTTTTTTTGGCAGTGTCTGTAGTGTCATTAAACCTTGTTTTTGGACTGACATTAATTTTAACTGAGGAATTTATGCTGCTTGGATAGTTACAATATATGAGATGTTATGGCATGTACTGAATTCATTTGTACCTCAGAACATGCTTCTACTTAAGCAAGACAAATTTTGATAGAGGATACGTGTTTCTCAAGAGAACCTTTTGTTGTTTAACTGCAGACCAGTGAGTGCGAAAATAAAACCTTTGGGCTCCAGAGATATTTTACCAAATAACCGTCAGCTGTATGAGATGATTTTGACCTATAACTTCCATCAGGTAAGGGTTATGCTAGTTGGTTTTTTTTTTTTTGAAGTTAATAAATACAGCATGTTTTTTAAAACCAACTCTTAATTTTAACTAGATTTCTCTCAGAAAGGAAGTCCAGATTCTCACTCTAGACTATCAACAGTCAAATTCTGATTTGGTCCACTTTGAAAGCTTTTGTTGTTTGAAACAGGCTACAGTTCAGTTATCTTTTTGAATATGCATGTAAGGATTGCACTTGTTTTATTCTATAGTAGATTAAATACCTTTACCTTTCTTTTAATAGCCTAAGAGTGGAGAAGTAACTCCAAGCTGTCCACTTCTTTGTGAATTATTGTACGAATCTGAATTTGATAGTCAACTCTGGATTATTTTTGACCAGAACAAAAGACAGATGGGTTCAGGAGATGCCTATCCACACCAGGTACAGAGTAATGTATTTATTTTACCTTCTGTTTGCTGCAAACTGTGAAAGAAAAAAAGTGTTTATTCCTTTGCACCTCCCAGGCCTCCTGTTAGCTCTTCACATTTTCTGATGTATAGTTTTCATGTTTTTATATATTCACAAGAAGACATACAAGGTTCAATGGTGATGTATTTGTATCAAAAAAAGATAGATATGTGTCCATGAAATAGAACATGTTTGTTTGGTTTTTTTTCTCTCCTGAGGAAGGAGAAAGAGGAAAAGCTGTTAACTTCTGATTTCTTGTGACCTTACCTGGTGCTTTTCAAGAAATTAATTCAAAATCATGTTGTTCTTTGTTTTTTTTTTCTACAAGGACAATGCCTTAAACTTCTCTGTGCAAGGTGGAAAGGATCCATTATTTTTCCTGTAGTCTGACTGGTGTGCTGATAGAGTAGAGGCTTCTGCATTCGTGAATGCTGTCCCGTGTGCTGTTGATATCTTCAAACAGCCTTTTTCAAGCTTCAGCTTCATTTGCTTCCTGTTGCCATCTTTGAAAGGGAGTTTTTTGTCCAACGCTTGTAGATACTCTATGGGACTCTCTTTCTGCTGCAACAGACTGTGTGTCTGAATAATGGGGGAAGTAGAGAGAAATTTTAAAAAATTTAAAAAGGAAAAAAAGCCATAAAAGACACATTTTACATATTTTTTTTTGTTTTGAAACTATTTTTTACCAATTAAAATCACAGTTGAACATCATCAACATAGAGTTAATTTTGATAGGTTGATCATTCTGGAAATGTACAAAAGATAGTTTCAAGAGACATGCTTAAAAGTTCATAAATTATTTTCAGAAATTGCATTGTGTAAGCTTCTGCATTTTTAAGATGCTCTAAAATCCAGACATCACCGCAGTGCTTTGTTACTTAGACCTGGTGGACTATCATGCTGTAAATCTCTGGTGTTGTGCATCATATGACAATTCTGAAGCAGTTCAAAATTATTTCATCTGGGAAGAAATACCAACAGGAAGCATGACTCTAGGTCAGGAGAGGGAGATTCTGGGAGCAGGGTAGTTCTGAGTTATTGTTCCTTTCTACTTGGGGCTGCCTTCTGTATTACTGCAGCAGTATCAGAAAGAAGGCTTATCATACTCTACTGCTCAAAACAGCATCTTGCCCTGTTGGTTGATAAAAATGAAATGTTTTCAAAACTAAAAATTTGAGAGTCTGGAGGTTTTTTCCTTGTGTAGTTTGGGGTGGAGAGGGATTCTTAGTTCTGTTGGGTTTTTTTGTTTGGTTTGTTTTGAGTTTTTCTTAAGTAATGGAGATGATGTTATCTGCATATTCCTCAGTAACAAGCTCAGGACAAAGAGTCTGTCAGCTCTTTAAACTGCATCTCACAGGATTACTGGGTTCCTTGGTGTAAATATTGGTACAGTGTTTGAGACAGCAGCAGATGTTCTGTGATCTAAACTGCAAAGCACCCCAACATAGTAAATTGAAAGTGTATCAAGGCAAACCTGCGGAGGTTTTCAAATGAAAACTTAACAGTTCTGATTATTATTTTAACAGTTAAAACAGTATTGAAATAGGAACAAATTATGTCAGTCTGTTTTGTGGTCTGAAAACTTAATTTTTTTTTTAGTCAGTACAAAACGTGTTTTGGCTGCTATCATGTCTTGAAAGCAGTTTTGTTTTCAGGAGATTCCAAAAACCAAACAATCTAGTATAGTTTAAATGGCTAGAACTGTATGAATATATGACTGTATAGACTATGGATTAAGAATATGACAGTCTCTGGAGTATGGAGGTTTTCTAATGAATGGTGAAATATTTAATCATCACATTTATGAGAACTTCTCTCTTTCTTTCAGTATTCTGTGAAACTGGAAAAAGGAGATTACACTATTCGGTTACAAATTCGTCACGAGCAGAACAGTGAGCTGGATCGCATCAAAGACCTGCCATTTATTGTTTCTCATAGGTTGTCTAGTACCTTGAGCTTAGATATTTATGAAAACCATAGCCTTGCTCTTTTGGGGAAGAAGAAATCCAACAGTTTGACATTACCACCAAAACACAGTCAGCCATTCTTTGTTACATCTCTGCCTGATGACAAGTAAGTTACGAAGTTCTGTTTTTCTCACCTGCATCTAGGCAGCTGCCTCTGCATCTCACTAAAATGATACTTTAATATAAAGTCTGCCTGTCCAGGCTTGGTTAGTACTCATGTTGCTCTTTCCCTGTTTGGCTTCTTTATTGTAGTTTTCCATGAAATCTTAGTCAACCTGGTTTTAACACTGAACTTACTTTTTTTGAACAGAATACCTAAAGGAGCAGGACCCGGATGTTATCTTGCAGGAAGTCTTACTCTGTCTAAAACAGAACTTGGAAAGAAAGCTGTGAGTATATGGAATGGATGACGGGGGTTTTTTCTGAAATTTTTTCTGGTGTGTAAATGGCATGCCAGGAGTTGCTGTATTGTATGGGATTAATACTTTAAAGAGCATTAGGTTTGTTAACATAATACATTTTAGAAGCAGTCATTTCATTATAAAGTCAGCATAACTTCTAAGTAGTTCTGTTATTATTTTCATTTTCTAATTTCGAATACAATTTCATTTTCTATATTTTGAATTTTAATTCTGTTGCTCTGAAGTCTTTTATTTCTAGAAGCAACTGCTTTCTTGTTGGTGTGGAGCCTTTAAAATTGACCTTATGTAAATCCCTAGCTTAATGTAATTTTTGAATGGAAAATACATGCATACAGTGTTAAGTGCATGTTGGTTCTGTAATACACTTTGTTGCATGCATGCAATATTCAGAAAAAAAAAAAGTGCTTTCTAAACACATACGTGTTACTATTACCAAGTAGTAGGAATTTTGGTGACTCAAATACATAAACAGATTTTCTTATCTGTTACACACTGATGTTGTCAACCACTAGTATGATTGTATGCTTCAACAGAATGGCATAAGATCTCTGTGTGTGAGGCTAGGAAAAAAAAGATGAAGGATATTTTTTTGCTCATAAGACAGCATCCCGTGAAGAATGTTTTTTAACTTACATGACTCTGTAATGCAACACTGATTATAGTAACTGTCACTTTTCTGTGTATCTGGTGCTCTAGTGTTCAGAAGATTCCCTTAGCTGTTTTTAAACAGATGGTAAACCTGCGACTAAATTTTAGTCAATCCTGGTGACTGTTAGTACTCAGAGGTAGTTGATCTATGTCCATGTATTACTAGACGTGGCTGAACAACATGTGTAAAACTAGAGTATGTCTTCATAGAAAGTAAGTTTCTGTGAGTAGGTTGGCATATACCTTTAGATCTTGTTGAGCATAAACATTTAGTTAATTCAGTCTGAAGTGGTTGTACTTTTGGGGAAGATTGCATATAACTGCAGGTGAGAATGTATCAGGAGGATTTATGTATCAGTGAGGAAAAACCCAGTAACTAGAAGCTCTAAAATATCTAAATATTTCTTTGTGATTCGTGCGAGGTTGCAAGTGTGCTTTTATGAAATCCATGATAAATCCATTACACTAGTGTAATTTAGTTTCCCTAGCTAGAATTGTGCACTTCCTTGAACTCTTGGTTGCAATCTTGCATGTTTTATATTAAAACCAGACTAAGTGGGATATCTACAGTAGTTTATGGGATAGGAAGCAGGAGATAGGTAGATACAGCCTGTCAAATTTCATGTGAGGCAGAATACTTAATAATACCTTACACAGAAAGAAATTCTTGCTGAGGTGTTTCTCATGTCATAGCCTAAGGCTTTACTACTATGGTCATATTTCTGTGGAAAAAGGATGGTATGAAATAGTACCTGATACTTTCTGCTGCCTTTAGTGCCTCAATATGTACCAGGAGACAAGAAAGGAGTACTAGGCAGCAAAGTTGTCTCTAAGTCAGTGGATGGATGCAAGGTAGGGGAAAATGTATCTAATTTATCTATATTTATCATGAAATAGAACAATGCCACTAAACAGTCAAAAGTCTAAAATTCTCAGACTGAATTCCTGTAATTTTTAAATTGAAGCTAAGTGGTTAACAACACTTGCTTATATTGCAAGAGTAATAGATTGTGTATAGAGTGATGCATTGTTTTATTAATTTTAAAAACCTGAAAGAGCATGCTTTAAGAGCATGTTTCATCATAGATGTGACTTTCTAAAAGCTGGAAATCTGTAGGTTGGAAGTATAACTATAATTGTACAGAGAAGGTGTCTCCATCCTGTGTGGTGTGTGCATGTTTTCTTACAGTGTGTTATTCTAACTCCCAGGGGCAGTCTGCAGCAAAGCGACAAGGAAAATTTAAAAAGGTACTGAATGCTAGTTTTTGAAAAAGATATACTGAAGTCTTTTTGCATATGACTTAAAGAATTTGTCTACCAGTCTTGGTTTTTAATTTGTCTCCTTTATCTACCTGCTTAGACCTGATTTATTTACTTCAGCATCTTAAGTATGTTTACGAGTAGAATGATAAAACAACTGCTGTAATGCGTAGCTGAGAGGCACGTGAGCATCTGTATACTTCTGCAATAAGTGCTGTAAAAATGGATGTGGTGTTAGTGGTCTGCAATTTTTCTTGTTATTAAATACTCAGTAATGTTCAGTGTTTGTGGTCAAGACTTTTTGTGGCAAATGTTTTCGCCTATTCTGTCTGCAGATTGAGAATCAAATGTGAACCTAACACTTCAAATTGAATAATTGAATATTTAACTGTATTCCCAGTCTACTAAATTGAGAGTTGTCTTCTTTACAGTCATAAAAAATATAAAGTAGAAAGCTAGAGTATGTACAGTCATGTAGCAGGTAGTAATATTCACAGAATGAATTTTGGAGCATTTATAAGATAGTTTGGAAAGGGGTGACTTTCAGTATAACAGTGTTTAATATTGTGCTTTCTTGTATTTTCACATCAGGTTAATAAAATATTTTGCCAGCAGTTAGTGTGAAACAGTTTGTTTAAAAAAATGCAGAAATATGCTTCACTAGACTACCTACATAAGGTTGCTGGGTTTTTTTCTTGTTCTTAGGTTGTATTTACTTTCTGTTGATTTCAAGGTACTTTGTTCTGGAGTGACATGCAGGCTTCTTGTTAGAAGTAAGACCTGAGAAACATGAGTAACATAGTTTATGGTCATATTCCGTTATTTTGTGAATAGTAAGCTGGAAGCTGAACCTGCTGACTTACTCTGGTTGTGGTGTAATAACCATGTGGGAATGTGATTAGGCTTTCCAAGAAGCATTTTAGTGTATGTTGCTGAATTTTATTTTCATACCTAATAATCATGCGGATCACTGTCAGAAAGATAATTTAAAATCCCATGAGAATGCATGGCTTCCTGGTAAATAGGGTACAAGATCTTCACTAAGTGAATCTCTAACAAGGGAATTAAACTCTAATAATAATAATACAATTTGAATAACAAAACCTATTAAAACCTATTAAACAGATTCCAGAGGTTGTGGTTTTGAGGGGGTTTTTTTCGTGGGTTATTTTTTTTTCCTTTGGTTTTTGAACAGAGATTTGTATTCAGATCTGAGCACTAAAACCACCCAAGCCAAAATAAAAACTATCCTTGTTTCTTCCATCTGTTACTCACCCAGTGTACTAGCAGCACATAAACTACTGGATTTCTGCAGAGCTCCGTCAAAGAGCTCTGTGCTCTTCAGCATTTTCATTAGTGGCTTGGACACGGGACTGGAAGGATACTGAGCAAGTTCACAGACACTGCAAAACTGGGAGGAACTGTTGTCTCCCTTGAGGGCAGGGAGGCCCTGCAGGGAGGCCTCAGGGGCTGGGCAGTCACAACCCATATGAAGTTCAGCAAGCGAAAATGCTGGATTCTTCACCTGGGATGGGCCAACCCTGGATGTTCAGTACAGACTGGGGAATGAGATGCTGGAAAGCAGTGCCATGGAAAGGGACCTTGGGGGTCCTGGTCAATGGCAAGCTGAACATGAGTCAGCAGTGCCCTGGCAGCCAGGAGGGCCACCCATGTCCTAGGGGACATCAGGTACAGCAGCACCAGTGGGATTGTCCTGCTCTGCTCTGGGGTGGCCTCACCTTGAATATTGTGTGCAGTTTTGGGTGCCACAATATCAGAAAGACATTAAACTATTAGACAGTGTCCAGAGGAGGACAATGAAGATGGTGAAGGGCTTTGAGGGGAAGCCATATGAGGAGCGGCTGAGATCACTTGGTCAGTTCAGCCTGGAGGAGACTGAGGAGAGACCTCATTGCAGTCTGCAACTTCCTTATGAAGGAAAATGGAGCCACAGGCACTGATTTCTTCTCTGGTGACCAGTGATAGGACCTGAAATGGCCTGAAGTTGTGTCTGGGGAGGTTTAGGTTGGATATTAGCAGAAAATTCTTCACCCAGAGGGTGTTTGGGCACTGGAACAGGCTCTCCAAGGAAGTGGTCACAGCACCAGCCTGACAGAGTTCGAGAAGCATTTGGACAATACTCTTGGGTATATGGTGGGACCTGGGGACAGTGAGAGCCGGAAGCTGGACTTGATGATCCTTCAGTCCCTTCCAACTTGGCATATTCTGTGAAATAAAACAGTGTATTTCAGAGCATTGCTCTGTAAGAGCTCCAATAATTAATGCATTTTGCTGAGAATGCTACTCAGAGGCCTTCCTAGTTTAAAAATTTTTGTATTTACCCTGCCCTGTCATAAGTTTACATGCAGTTAAGATGTTTTCCAGCACAGAAAAGTTATTTATATATTTCTTCAGTGATGCAGTCAGTCAAAAAAGTATGTGTAGATTTTTCATATTTGTCAAAGATGTGTCTAGACCTTCTTGTAAGATTAGTAACTCTCCACAAGGGCACACTGCTGGCTCATATTCAGCCTGATGTCCACCAGGATGTCAAGCTGCTTTCCTACTGGATAGCCCCCAGCATATACCGTGCCTGGATTTATTCTTTTCCAGATCTTGCACTTCTCTTTGTTGAACTTCATGAGGCTCCTGTTGAGCCCATTTCTGCAGCCTTTTGAAGTCCCTCTGGATGGCAGCAGACTCCCTGGCATATCAGCCACTCCTCCCAGTTTGGTGCCACTGGCAAACGTGCTGAGGGTGCCTTCTGCCCCATTGTCCAGGTAATCAGTGAAGACATCAGACAGGGTTCAATCCAGAATTGACCCCTGGGGCACACAGTTAGTGGCCTCCAACTGCATGTCACTGACCACCTTCTGGGCCCAGATATTCAGCAGGTTTCAATCCACCTGACTGCATCTCTGTTTTGCATAAAAACAGTTTGTGCTTATGCCAGGAAGTAACAGCCTAGTTTTCCAAAGATAATTAATACTTTTACAACTGTACAAAAATGTCAAGGGGTTCTCTCCATGTAATAAAATAGTGTATTTGTTTTAATTTGTAATGCAGTTACAATCTGATAACTTTTTCCCCTTGTGTCCAAGCTTTGTCCAGAACACAGTTAGAATGAAAAACATACAATTGACTTTTTTGGGTCTGTAAGAATAATTTTTTGTTGGTTTACATAATGCAGCCTTTGAACAGCAGTGTGTAACAATTAGCCAAGGGATGGAAAGTTTCTACAACTTTTTCCCTATTCTGCTATCCTTTCTTCCAATTTAAAGCAAGAAATGTATTATATTGATAAGTACTAGTGGAAGACTAATAAATACCATTGTGAAGTCACGTGTAAAAGGGTGACTGCCTTTGAGCATTAAGACACTATCCCTGTTTCATCATGAGGCATTCAAAAATAGGATGAGGTATGTGTCTGGTACAATTTTGTGTAAGCCTGCCTGGTGACTTCAAGAAGCTTAGTTAATTTCCCATTGAATGAGAAATTGCTATAAAAATAAGCAACACTGCACAAATTGTATGTGTCTTAAAGCAGATTCAAATTCCATATGTATATTCATCTGTATGTGCCAGTAGGCATTAATATGAAGATACTTATTAAATGGAAAATGAGACCTGGAATCTGTTCCTGGAGGGAACTTTTTTTCCTGTGATTAGTTTTGCTGTGAATGCTTTGAAGTACAAATAACAATCATTTTATATGTGTTTTACATATAAAATACTAGATGTTAAAACACCAGACAGAAATCTAAATTGAAATCTTGAAGCCAAGTTCACTGTTAATTAAGGTCTTTGAAGAGGTGCCTGTTTTGATGGCACTGTGCTTGTTTATGTGTGTAGTTTGTAGTTCAGTTAAAAGTAAACCCAGTGAAGCTTATGTGATGCCACAGAGCACATTGACCAAAGTGTGTATCCTCTATGCTTTGCAATTTCCCAATACTGCATTTCTTTTTAGTGGATAAAATTGAAAGTTTCATTAAAGTAATATTTTCAGTGGATAATATGCTCACTTGCTCTCTGTCTATAGCTCTCTATCTTCTTATAGTTATATGTAAAATTGAAATCCAGTACACTACTCTAGGAATTCTGTTCCTGTCAGAGAGAAATTTGAATAAGAAAACAGGTTGGAAAGAGCTGCCTTTCTTCTCCTTAATCTCTAATGATGAATATTTCTGTAATGGCAATGACAGTGCCATTCTGAGATCTTCTGGTACCTAGGGAGTTGCCAAGTGTTGTAAAGGATCCTAGTGTTTGCAGATAAATAAAGAAGCCTTCAGTTCATCTTAATGCCCTGTAATAGTTAGGTAAATGTGATAATAACCCAAACTTTATTTATCCCATGAAATAAGTTTGAGGTCTGTGGAGAAGTCTGCTCTGTCAGCTCTTTTGAGAGGAGGGTGCCTGGGTCTGAAGCTCATTGTTTTCCTTTCTGTGGTCATAGCTTGTAAGGCTTGCGGAACTTCATGAGACCAGAAGTACCTATGTGAGAGAACGGGGAGATGACATTTTACTGTTGATGATTTGGCGACATAGGGTTAATCTCTCAAAATGCAAGTGTTCAATCACATAAGTGAGATTTTGTTAATCCAATTATGTTTGGTTTGAAACTTAAACAAGAGTTGTAGAGCCTTCTCATATAGACAAAGCTTGAGAATGCAGAGGTCATCTAGATATATAACTCCAAAAATATGCTGCAGGTGAAATGAAAATGAACTTTCAAAAAGGAAATCCTCAACTCTTGGAAGAATATTTCTTAGAAAGCCAGGTTTCTTTCTTAGGAAAATACTAGTCTCAGAAGAAGATGTCTTTTAGAAAATATTGTAAATTAAGATTTTTGTGCTTAACTAGCTTCTTTGACTTTTTAATGTTTGGTTTGCTTTAGTGAACTATATTGTTGCTTTCTACTATTCTAATTCCCTTAGTCATCCCCACACCATGTTCCTGACCTCTGTATCTTCCTGTGTGCACTTACTTCCATGACCTGTTTTGTCATGCTTTGGCCTAGGTCTTGTTGCAGGTTCTTTTAGGTGTATTGACTGGTTGTCAGCACTTCATACTTGCAATGCATGTGTGCAGATAGTTCCTGTGAAAGCTAAACTTTAACGCAGATTAGTTATCTAAACTAGTTTTCAAAAAAAAGTATTTAAATGTCCATATTGTGATTCTGTGATTACATATTAAGTAGCTGTAAGAATTATTTTAAGGGAATATTGAAATCATTTTTACCAGTATTGTTCAGTAACCCACAGCAAGATGCCAGTTTGTTTGAGCTAAGAGTTCAAATAAAATTTTTTTGCAGCGTGGTTTTTGAATGTTTCAGAAGTGTAGTGTTGAAGTCCATTATTGCAGTTTCTGTCACCATTTTACTTACTATTTAAATAACTTTAACTCCATCTTGTATACAAGGTGTTTATTTTGCAACACAACGCTGATCATGTTTATGGGAAGCATTCCCACAAATGTATTCTAGAATAATTGGTGAGAATAATTAAATTGCCACAGTAATTGAGCATGCAGCTTAATATTTTGCAACAGAGTAGTGGTATCTAGACAATTTAATCTTATGTGGTCTTCACTGTGAAGTATCTGGTATGTGAAGTAATGGGACACATGCCCTCGCTGTTTAGGGATAGGCTTGTTTAAAGATTGCAACATTAAAACCAAAACGATCAAATGGCCTCACCCAGCAGTTTGATAGTTTCAAGAAGCCCTGGATGGAACCTAGTGCTACCTTATTTGCAAACTTATATGTAAATTTTCAGGAAATGGACTTCAAGAACATGGTCTGAGTTAGGATTTTCCTTTTAAATAACTGTAACTGGTTTTCTCATGGTGGTTATTGATTAGCATAGCATGAACTCAAACTATAATGATATTTCTGTGCTACCATTTAAGGTTTAAAAAAAATCTTACTGTTGTGTCTACTTAATTAGAACTGAGATACAGGTGAAACTGCAAACTGTGACAGCAAACTGGAAATCAGTTGACTGTGGATGCATCAGCTAATTCAGTATGCACATGGAAGAAATAGTATCTTGGGAGGAACAAACATATCCTGTGACATGTTTCATGTTTATCCTACTGTGGTACTATTTTTTAGAATTCTGCCATCTTTATTCATTTATTGCCACATTTGTAGGATAGGATTTCTATCTTTTTTCTCTTATCCTTTTAACCAAGTTATTTGCTTTTTTATCAACAAACAAACAGAAAAGCACCTTCCTTATTCCCTAACTAATATTATGTAAAATTATGTGAATGTAAAAATGTCACAGTGGCTAAATTTTAGGTTTCCTTTTCTTATACCTAATGTGCTGTTTTAATATTTACATCCTTGCATTGCTTAGCATAAAAACTTAAAGCAGTTCCTGAATTATTACTGTCTAATACCTTTACTCTCAGAACCCTTACCCACTGTATGTGTAGCTCAGAGTAAGTGCTGGCTATGATTTAGCTTTCATATGACATCAAAAAAAAGTGTACTGTATCCCTCTGAGTATGTGTCTCTTTTCCCACCTCCAGGATGTCCTTACTGTTCATTATCACCTGATACCATCACCATCAAAGAGTAAAAATGGCAGCAAAGAAAAAGAAAAAGAACAGGAAAAAGAAAAAGATGCAAAAGAAGAATTTGCTGAAGCTTTAAGAGACCTAAAAATACAGTGGATGACCAAGTATGTCTGCGATCATTATTGCACAAGTTTGAAGTTCACAAAAATACTCAGAATCTGTACTTTCATGCTATATCCTCCTCTCTTCTAGGCTGGATACCACTGACATGTATAGCGAGTTGAAAGAAGCATTTCCTAATCATCTTCCTCTGTATGTTGCAAGACTTCATCAGCTGGATTCTGAAAAGGTTATTTAACACTTCTTAAACTTGATTTATCTCAACACGCTCATATAGCCTAATGAACTAAGTCTTTCTTTGTGCACATTTGAATTTGAAGTGACTGTACTCAGTATTAAAAAGCAGAAATTTCTAAATAGAATGACAGGTGCCTCTCGACTGTGATTTACTTAACCCTACAAAATAATAAATTACTTAGTCTACAACAGTTTTATTCTGAATGGTGGCTACTAAGACAAACACACATCCTATTCTGTTCCTCTTCTGGGCTGCTAATTTCTCCTAACAGCATGACTCAGACAGCTGAGGACATTAACCCTCTAAAGTGTCACAGCTAAATCCAGCTTCCATCCTTGTCCTCAAAAATGGGAACTGTCAACAGAAGAGTTTGCATGTGTTTTTTTTTATCTTGAAGACACACACCTTTGTGCATATGCCATTAACTTGAATATTTTTCTTTTCTTTATGATTTTGTTCTTATTTTATATTTATTTCTGAATTTAATAACTGCTACATTGTATAAGAGTACTGATTTGTACTGAAAGGTGATTTTCTTTCTGTAAACGCTGCATTTTGCATAGTCCAACCTCATATTTCACAGTTTGTTTTCAGTGAAATGGACTAAGTATGAAGGGAATCTTGAAGACTTTCTGGGGTGTTTTAGGCAAAATTTGAATGAAGTGGAGAAAAGAACATGCTGAATTACCAAATGTTATTTCTGCATAGCCTTACAGTCACCCTAATGTTAGTAGAATCAACAATGAAGTATTGTGATTTCATGGTGCTGTGCATCTTTATGTTCTTCTTTTAGGAACGAATGAAAAGACTTGATGAAATTGTTGAAGCTGCAAATACAGTAATCTCTCATATTGATCAAACAGCATTAGCAGTATATTTTGCCATGAAGACTGATCCCAGGCCTGATGCAACTACTATAAAAAAGTACCTACCCAGTAAATAATTTTCCTGCATCCTATTTCTGTAGTCTGTGTAATTTGTCTCTGCATGTAAGAAATAGAATGACTGCACCTTTTTTGATAATTTGTGGGGGCTTTTTCGTGGCATGGGCAATTTAAAATATGACTACACAGTTGTTGTGTTCTCTTATTATATCTCCAGAAATGCAGGGACATAGAAGTTTTTTTTTTTGTTTTTGGTGGGGTTTTTTTGTTTGTTTTGTTTTGGGGTTTTTTTTTTAATTTTTGGGTTTTTTTTAATTCAATAAAATAAACAAGAGTTCTTTCAGGAGTTAAATGTATCAGAAAAATGGGATATTAAGTTGTTGTATCAAGCTTAATCTAAGCACAGAGAGACCACTGAAGTATTAGGAGAAGTATCTGTTTTGAATGCTACTTGTTTTTTCTTTATATTTTGCAACCTTTCCCATTTATATTTGAAGACAAAATTGACATCAGCCTAAGAAGTAACTGCTTCCAAGACATTTCATTTGTGAAAAGCGTGATGATCATGCCTCAGAGTATTTTTGAGACTTATTGTTCTTTAGTTTTAGATTGTTCCTCTGTTCTATCAGTATATATATATTCTTAGGAAGATAGTATTTTGAATGTGACACCTTAGTCTGGAGAATTAAGTTATGGATTTTGCTGTGTCTAGCATGGTGCTGTTTTAGTAACAGAACAGCAGATCTGAATATTAGGCCCTTAAAATGGGAGATGTATCTTTGTTGATTATTTATAAAATATCAGATTTCAATTGTAAAGCTAGTCTGTGTGTTCTAGCTCTCCTGAATCCAGATTTGTGTGTAATTCTAGAATTACTGATATAAAAGCAAAGCCTTGACATAATAAATTTAATTCTAAACATTTCTTGGTAAAGTGATCCATTAGGTCATGTGTTTTGAATATAACATCTGAAATTGAACACCAAATTCAATGGTGCTTTAAATGGATGCAATTCCTTTGAAGTCAGCAGAACTATATCTGCTTATCTTAGTGGTGGATTCGACTTTCTGTTTATAATGCCAGGAACTATAAAGCTGTATTTCTAGGTGCTGACTTTCTTTTAGAATCCTGAGTTGCCCTTACCTTAAGTCATCTAAGGCATTTAATACTTCAAGAATGATTGAGTATCTTTAATGCATAGTGTCTTTAGGTAATCTTTTATGAGTAGTTCAATTTACAGTAAATAGTCTTGTGTGTACAGCCATAAACTTTTTTAGTTTAAAGTGAGCTAGCACTGTTTCTGTTCTTAAGGAGGTATCTGCAGAAGATTCTAAACATTTTTCATACTGGATTTTTTTCTCCCTAGTGAAATGGAAAAACAGAAGAGTACTTTAGTGGATGCACTTTGTCGAAAGGGAAGTGCGCTGGCTGACCAGCTTCTTCATCTGCAGGCCCAAGAAGGGGCTGCTTCCAGTGATGCAGAAGGCAAAGATGAGGATCATGAGAGCTGCTCAGAAGCATTGACAGAAACATTCTGGGAAACAACAAAATGGACTGATCTTTTTGACAGCAAGGTAAGAGACCAGAGCAGTTTTTTTTTATTTGCATGTTGGGTTTTCTAATGGTTTATTCTGGAATTATGCACTGCCTTTATGTGCACAGCCTTGTACATTCCTGCATCCTACTTTTCCATGATGTCCCCATATGTTGTGCTTCCTTTATGACCTTTTTCCGCAGAGGTTTTGCTAGGCCTGTCAAATCCATGGTAAGCCCATCTCTGTTTAAGTGAATGTAGAGGTTAAGGGAAGGGTGTAAGACAGTACCAGATTTCCACAAAAAAACTGCTTCCTTTATTGAATTGCTGCTTTCTGTACTTTCCAGGGAATATTTTTGATTAACCTCTGTGCTGTGTGTAGCTGTAAACACAGAAGTGTGCAGCATCCCTACCCTGTTCAGTCCTGCATGCTGTAGCCTCTTCCACACTATGAGCAAGAGTTTTGTTTTGCTGTCAATAATGTCTGTAGAGGTAAAGGAAGAAACCCTTGGAAATAATTACGCTTACATACTTATTAGCACAGACTTCCCTGACATTTCAGAGTTCCTGATCCTGAGAGCTGAATTTTTTTTCTCCTTCATTCAAGATGGCAATTACAGAAGGGAAAAAATAATCCATTGTTGGAGATTAGTTGTGTAGCTTTTAATTTAGAGAGGTTATGACTTTTTATTTTTAACTTTTGAGCTATTGATGTTAATTAGCTCCTGAGCTTAACTGTCACATATGGCTGCGTTTTAGTGGAAGATGGAGTGATCAGGGTGTTTGTTGATGGTAATGTAAAATTACCAAAGCACTTCAGATAGTTACAAAAGAAGACCTTTTAAGAGTAGAGGAAAAAACAAAATAAAACCTTTAACTTCCTTGACAGTAGATAAACTTTCTGTAAGAACTCATGGTTTAGGTGGAGGCCTGGTCAAGAAGGTTGATGATGCTTACCATCCTTGCCTTAATGTTTATGTCCTTGTACACATACATCTTTTCAGCATATCTCTTCTAATTGTTAACTGATGGTAATATCATGTAGCAGATTTTGTGCTTCAATCATATTGTTTGGCACATGATTTTCTTGCTGTCTGTCTGTAAATGCAATACTTTGTTCCAGCATAGTAACCCCTGGTTTACTTCTGTCTCCTGTTTTATTTTTTAAAGCTGATGGGAATAATTTTAGTGGAAGAATGCCAGTATAGACATTTTGTTGAGATTTTCACTCTTTGGCTTTTATTTCAAGACAAGATAGCATTGTTGAGCTGCATGCTCTGGGCCTGGCATAATTAACTCTGATTTGAGTTCTACGGATTAGGAGTTGAACCTCTCTTTAACTGTCTTAACCATGGAGTTGTCAAGGTGTATATTCAGGTTTTGCTCTGAAAATTGATTCTTCTGTATTGAAGATCAAAACTTCTCTAGATTTTTGTAGTATTTCATATGGAAATAACTTCCATCCTGTTTATGCAGTACATTTGTCTTCTTTTTCCTACTTTTTGAGTTTTATTACTCAAATTGAAATCCAAACTGATTGACTGTCATGAGACCTACAGAGCTACTCACAGGGTGCAAAAAACGACAGTTCCGTAGGTAAAACAAAAGCGTTGCACAGAAGCAAAACAAAACAAGGAATTAATTCACCACTTCCCATGGGCTGGCAGGTATTCAGCCATTTCCAGGAAAGCCAGGCTCCATCATATGCAGCCATGATTTGGGAAGACAAACACCATCACTCCAAACCTTCTCCCTTTCTCCTTACTCAGCTTTATGTGCTGAGAATGGTGTCATATGGTGTGGGATATCCCTGTGGTCAGTTGGGTTCAGCTGTCCTGGCTGTGTCCCCTCCCAACTCCTTGTGCACCACCAGTCTTCTCGCTGCTGGAGTGGAATGAGATGCAGAAAAGGTCTGGACTCTGCAAGCGCTGCTCAGCAACAGCTAAAACATTTCTGAGTTATCAACACCCTTTGCAGCACAAATCAAAAACACAGCCACATCCCAGCTACGGTGAAGAAAATTGATTAGCCCATCTTAAACCAGCACAGGTTCAAAATGGAGCAGTCAAGTCAGATAGGGGATAGAACTTGTGTGGATGTCCTTCAAAGGAGAGGTGTCAAGAGACAGTTTCTGAAGCAGTGTGTTGGAGATGAAAGTGTGGAGCTCTTGTTTTATGTAAACATGGCTGTATAATATTGCCATTCAAAAGATGGAACATCTGGGTGAATAAGGATGGAAATCAGGCATTTAAATACTGCACTGATCATTCAGTTATATGTATATATATGACTTTAGATAGAAGCATTGCTCTAAGTGTGCTTAGTTCTAAGCTTTCTATAAAGTTCATGCAGCTGTCAGTAATTAAAAGGCTAAATAAATTTTTGAAAACCAAGAGAGATCATGTTTTTGATTGTTTCTAAAGAGGAATCAGGAGCAGCATCAGTTTTCTGTGCGTTTCTTCTCATGTTCTCGTAAATAAAGTACTGTCCCTTGTTTCATCTCTCCTCTGCAGATGTAGTGTCTGGACACCACAGGGCATTTGGTAGTTCCTTTGAATTGTCTGTTTGTCATTGAAGTAACCTGCTTGTTGCCATATTGTAGCAAGTATGTGGGGAAGTAACTTTAATTTGGATAATAAGTGCCCTTGTTCATACTTTCAGCTATTGTCTGAAGATTCATTTTCAACTAAACTTGAAAGAAAATATTTATGTCCCCTGTGTACACAAGTTTTCAAATGAGCTCCAGTTAAGACAGCTTTATGCAGCAAGTATTTGATTGATTATGCTAACATGTTTATGATAGTACTTTAGTCCTTTTTCCTAGAACATGACTTTAAATTTTGTAGACCAGAATCCTCAGTTTTAAACACAACTGCTACAGGAGAGTAGTAGGATGCTGTGTGTTTGTTATTGGGAATGACCGGTCTGTGGAATGTAATGCCCCTCAACCTTTGTTAGCCATGGAGGAAAAGCAAAAAGTCACACTTAAAAATAAGTAAAAGGCCCACACCTTTCCATCTTACCTTTTAAACATCTTTAGCCTGGACTGGTTTTCCTGATACTGTTTGCATGATCACATGCAGCTTTCTCTTCCAGGTGATTATATTTAGTCACTGCCAAAAATGTGTTGCTGGATTCCCTTAACTTCCTTTGCTCAAAAATATGGGTTCTTTTTTTTTTTTATTAATGTAATTTTTATTTGTAATAGGGCAGTTAATAGAGCAGAGAATAATCAAACTGAGCTAAGAAAGCCTAGTTTATTACTATAGATGTATATGAACCTAAAAAACTCATTTGTTGGAAATTGTCAACATTACAACTTCAGTATTCTTACAAATAGCTGGAGCATGTTACTAGAGATTGTATTGTTTAACCTAGTAATTAAACTATATGTAAACGTAGGTATATTTTAATCAGCTCTTTAAATGATTAATTAATTGATTATACAAGTCTGTTTCCATAGGTAACAACATTAGAACACTAGAAAAGTTTCATTAGGTGTTCTGGTATTTCTGGATTTAAACATGCATTTTTACAGAGTGTTTTCTAGCTTTTAAATACTTCAGCCCCACAAATGTCTTCAGAGAGATCATTCCAGCATTTTACTGTCCTAAATATGAATCTTTATAGCCAATGGCAAGTTAGGCAGCTAGTTAGGAGGTGGACATCCAAACACTTTTATGGGTCTGGCTCCTAGCACATTGTAGTATTCTAGACCATTAGTTTGGGGGATAAAGTATCTAACAATGATTGGTTTGTTTTTTTTTTCCCACAGTACCCTAGAAGTATGCATTGCCTTTTGTCAATATACTTCTGTTGCTCTCTCTACAATTTCTGACCCATATTGCTTGTTACACAAAAGCTAGCCTTCTTCATTACATAGTTATGAAATAATATCAAATACTTTGAAGTCATTACTATTCTTTCATCTAACAATTTGGTTTTGGATACTACAAATAGGTTTAGTTGGTGGTTTTATATATTCAGATAGCAGCTGTTTTCTCTGTTATATCTTAGTAGTACTCCTTACATTTTCCTTACACATATCAAAGAATCATAACCTTTATTTCTGTGATCTTATAAAGCTTGCAATATTTTATCTATAAGGCTTAATTTGGCCAATATGCGTACAAGCTGTAAAGTACTATTTCTTACCTAACATCTTTTGTTCGTAAACAAATTCTGATTTTAAAGCAAGTCGTGCATTGTTCATAGCTTCTTAAGTGCTAATGAATTTTTAGTAGTTTTGCTGAACTTGTATACAGTTGATTGGGGGTTTTTTTACGAACACTAAGACACAAATTATTGTCTTATGTCAAGAGCTCTTGGAGCATTGCTTTCAACCTTTTGGTTCAGCAGAGAACCTTTTTCTCATTTAGAAATACCCAACCTTTTATTTGGCTGGAGCAAGGGTATTTCGTAAAATGCTTTGTTTTCTTGCCACAAAAACTCTAGGAAGCCCTGTTACGAAAGAAATGCTGTCAAGTGGCTTTCCTCCTGCCTTTATCACTGATGTTCAATAACCATTCAAAACTTACAGGGTCAGGTAAGAGCTTTCTTCATAGAGCAGTGACATTATTTCTGGTTAGCCTCCGAAATGTTATATTTGCTGAGAGCTCCAATGCATTTTTCATTTGACTTTTTTTTGTTTGGTTTTTTTTGTTGTTTTGTTTTGTGGTTCTATCATCTTTTACAGAAGACAATTTTTTTTTTAAGTTTAGTTTAGCAAACTAAGTCTGCTAATGGATCCACTCAACAGTTATTTAGAAATGTTTGCTAATTTGTTTTGCTTTAGGAAAATATCCAAAATACTTGGATTGAGAATGCAGCATGCAGAGTATTTTTCCAATAGCAATATTTGGAAAATTGTATATGTGAATGGTGCTGTATGCTCATTGTTGCATATATGTGTGTGTTGTAAGCTACAACAGCTTAAGTGAATATTTCAACACAGTAAAAGAAGTATTTGAAGACAGAAGAATGAGCAACTCTTGAGTACTTTGGCATAGTATCTTGAAGCTTCAAAATTAATCCTTGACTTGCTTGATAATTAAGTTTATTTCTTTTTTATATTTTAACTATTTCTTGATCCTGCAAAATCTTGTGCATGTGATTAACATTAAGTGGAAGTGTTCAGGCTGCTAAAACTAGACAGGTCCTTCACTCCTTGCAAGATTGAGATCTCTGGTTCCATAATGTTTATATTCTTGAGAAATATTTTATTTTTTTCTGTAATGCAAAACATATTTCTGAACATCCTTGAAGGGTTTTTATTAGCTTTTCTTAATGGGTTATTTTAAGTGGGAAATCTTCAACTTTTATCGTGGAGTCAGAGCAAAGGAAAAATGTAATGAATGAGGGAAAATGAATAGCAAGCTAAAAAAGATTTCATAAACACTGCCAACGACAGACACACTGCCATATTCACCAACTTTACTGCTATGTCGCTCTTCAGTAAAAAATAAAAAATACCTTGTTTCACCATGAGTGTTCCAAAGGGAATATATGAAAGTGTCATGATTGCTCTAATTCTTAGTGCTGCAGCTGGTGAAATGGTTTGAACCCTCTGGCAACACCCTGAACGCTGTCGGTGTTTAGGTATTAAGAACCTGATCTGTTTTACGTTAGGTCTTAGGTAGACACATTCATTTTCTCACATGAACTACTGCATTGGTAAGGACTGTAAGGTGGCTTTTTAGAAATGATACTATCAAGAAGGAGGTTTTTTATAATCTCTTCTTAAAAAATTACCAATAGTGAGGAGCTGACCTAAAACCTGAGGCTTGTCTTCATGCTTACCTGTCTTCATTGCTTGTTTATAATTATGTACATTTCTCTATCTTTGTCTGTATATATCATTCACTGTGTACATTCATACTTGTTTCTGCAGTAAGTTTGTGACTACCTAGGAATTAAAATTCTCAATTTGCTTTTTGCTTCTCTGGGTCAAAAATATACCTGCTTGGTTGGTGATTCTTTAGTTACCTTTTTAATGTGCTATATAGTTGCCTGTAGAGAATGAAAATCCAAAGAAGCTAGAAATGTGACAAAAAATTAAAATAATGACATCTGTGTTACATAAGTTCTGAAGTCAAATATGTTTGTGAAGTCAGAAATAGTCTCTAGGAAGTTCATGTTTATGACTACTACTGTGAATCATGTTATACTGCAAATATCTCATGTAAGTGTTTTACCTGCTACCTGAACAGAGTTTGATATTACTTGAAGCCTTGTAAGATACTAAAATACCTAATTTACTTTGGTGTTTTTAATTTGCATTGTAGGTTTTGACTTTTGCCTATAAGCATGCATTGGTAAATAAAATGTATGGAAGAGGTCTCAAGTTCGCCACAAAACTTGCAGAAGAAAAGCCAACAAAGGACAACTTAAAAAACTGCATTCAGGTAAGGAGTGTTTGGTCAAGTAATGGGGCTGCGTTCATGCTGCGTAAGCTTTCAGAAGTAAAATATAAGTCCTCTGGAATTTTTTGTACTCTTCTCATTTTAGAAAGCACTAAATGTAACATTTTAACTTTATCCAGATTTTGTAGCTCAGCCTTCACTTTAAACAGTGATTTTTTTTTTCCTTCCTTTTTCTAGAATAACTTATTTGTGAGTAAGTGTTGTTTTCAGCAGATTTACTTTTTCGAACTTACTTCAGGGCATAAAGGAAGTAGAGACAACTTAGTCAAAGAAATCTGCATAAAAATGCCCTTATGTTGCTGTTACTGTTATTTTTTACTATTATTAATCATGATTCCTGCTCATAGAATTTAACGAAGAATTAATGGGAATTCCTAAGATTAAGCTCTTGCGCATTACATTGAAAGAATGTGGATCATATAGAATGGGGAGGAGGGGTCCCCCCTTTCAGGACTGAGGAATTCAAAGCTTACCAGATCTTCAATCTGTTTTCTTTCTGATAATAGAAATTTTTAGTAAAATGTTGATATCAGTGCAGTGTTTGTTTAGATTCAGATATTAAAAAGATTAAGACTCATTTTTTTTTAATGCATGCTTTTTTTCTTCAGCTAATGAAGTTGCTTGGATGGACTCATTGTGCAACTTTCACTGCAAATTGGCTTCCTGTGATGTATCCACCTGATTATTGTGTATTCTAGAGAATCAACAACTGTAAAATTACAATGATTTTATATGGGACAGGATAGGAAAAGAGAAGTTTGACTTTTTATTCGAACGCATGTTTTCGTTACTGAATGCTGATTATTAAATTGTGTGTATTTATCAGTAAAGGCACCTGGGTATGGCTTAATACCTGTTAACCTAACTCCTGTCATCAGGAGTTCCTTATTGTGCATCCCATTGCTGGCAATGGATGTGCCAGAACTGCCAACATCAAGGATTTGGAATTAGTTTGGAAAGAATTGCTGCATGCATGTTATGTTCTGAATTGTTACTTTTAACTGCAAACTGGTAAAAGTTCTGTATTTTTTATGGTACACTGAATTTTAACATGTTTGATCTTAATTTCAATTGTATGAAGGCCTTAAAGCTACTTCAAGAGTAGCTAAAATTTTACTTATTAGATGAAAATAATGGACACCTGTATTGTTTGCAAGAGTTTACATTTAATGTTTTTAAGAAAAATTCAACCTCTCAAACAGTTGCAATGTTTCTCAGAATTGCTGATGCATAGGTACTCTTGTAAATTTTCAGAACTCTTCATTTTGGAGTGATTTCAGGCAAGCTCAGAAGTCCTGGTGAAGCTGACTATGATGACAGGCTGATACATGTATAAAGGTGCCAGACAGTTACATCTTGATCAAATATTGTAAAGCTATACATAGATGTTTATTAATGTTAAAAATATAAAACACAGCAGAATAAATGTGCAAAGTTGAAGATCAAAAAACCACCATGTTCACTCTGATACTTTACAAGATTTTTATAATGAATAAAAATACTGAAGCTAAAAATTGTACTGGTTTCTGGATGAGTACCTAAATAAAAGTTGCTGAAAGAAAGCAGCTTACAAACAGCAGTGCAGCCCAGAAGATCAATGCTTTTTGTTAAAGCCTTCTTACTAACATTGTTCCTTCAGTGGAGGGGAGTTGGTCAGTTTGAACACGTCATATGTATCAGCCAGAGACAAACTGCTGTATCTTTTGCCTTGCTGGATTTTTTTTTTGTACTTGCAATGCAAAACTTGGATGCAACTAAGTTAACAATCTAAAACTTAGATGCATCTTTACAACCATAAATCCACAGAAGGTGCAACATAATCTTGGAAAGCATTCCAATCTGTGAGGTGCTGCCACTAAATAAAGATCAGGAATAGTTTTTGCTTTAATTCTTTCTAACTGTGGCTTTAAGCAGCTTGACATTTGATTCTGGAAATTCTGCTAGAATGGTTGTATTAAATATATTGCAAACTTTTTCCAAAAACTCGTAGTCTGTACTGAATCTGAATTTATTTGCCCATAGTAATACTGTTCCTGGCTTACAAAAGTACACCATTGTTGCTAGCAGGGGGTCCAGAGCTCCATGATGGTACACAACATCAGTTGCCAGTATGAAATCATAATGGTAAGTTGATACAGGAAAGTCTTCATTGAGGCCTTCTCCCCATATCAGTTTTCTCACTTCAGGTTTGTGCATATTCAGGTTCTGTGTATTTCTTGAAATATTATATGAAAGATTTTCAAGAACTTCAGGCAAATCAGTAGCTGTAACATGAGCTCCTAAAGAAAATGGGAGTTTGTTTCAATTCACAGAATCACTAAGGTTGGAAGAGACCTTCATCTGTCCAACCATGAACCCATAATCGCTCCTAAACCAGATCCTCATGTCCCACATCCCGATGCCTCTTGGATGCTTCCAGAGACAGTGACTCCACCACCTCCCTGGTCAACTTATTGCAAGGGTGCCAATCCACCCTTTCTGTAAAATAAATTTTTTTTCTAATATCAAATCTGAACACCCCTGGCACAATTTAGGGCTATTTCCTCTCATCCTTTCACTTGAGACAGGGCAAAATTCATAGGTATGTAGTTGAACATGTATGAAGCTTTATCTATATAACTGGTCCAACCTCCCCTTCCCCGATAACTAGGGTAGTTTAGTTAACAAAATGGTATTTTACAATAGTTTTCATTTAACAAAACACAAAAAAAAACACAAAAAAAAAGTGACAAAGTTTGCTTCAACTGTTGTTTCATTGCCTTAAAGTGACAATGGCAGAGCTAGATCATCATTCACTAAAATCCAAAAGGAAATACAAATTTACCAACCTAAGATACAGGCCACAATGGAAAGCAAGCCTGTTCCAGCACCAATTTCCAAAACTTTTTTGTCTTTGAGGTTGAATTGTTCTTGATTTGATTCCAGATATTGAGATAAAGCCAGTGCCTAAAACAGTTAACACATATCCATAAGAGGGTAACAGCTAAGTTGCACAAAATTTCATTAGAAGTTTTTATACAAGGGTGTTGGTTTTTTTAGTATAATGAGAAACAACGAAGGGTGTAACAAAAATGTAAGATGGGAAGAATTGTGATGTATCCTGGTTTTTTTTATATATTAAAAAATTAAAGCAGTTTATTTTTACTTTTAAGTTTATGTGATATGGATTTACTACACACTTCTGCATGAGTCCTCTGACAGCTCAAGACAGAATCACAGAATAAGCTGAGTTGGAATGGACCCACAAGGACAGGCAGTGTTAAAATGTGAACCATGCAGTCAGAACAGCAAAGTTTAACAATATGTAGGAAGTAATGTTCTGATTTATTATCCTAAGTGTTATGCTACCACTATCATAAAGTAAATTTAGGCTTCGGCAGAGATTTTTGAAAAAGCTTTTTTTGTTTCAATTTTTTTAGCAAAGAAAATATTAAAAATTGGTTATTTACAAACTCGACACTTGTTTATTAATAATAGTATAAACTTTGAAAAGAAACAGTGCAGCACTGTATGAAAATATTATCGGGCCTTTGTAAAGATTTTGTCAGATAGTAGAATATAAGTGGGCTGTTTATTAACATAAACTGATGCCAAAGAAACTGTCTTCCCCATTTTGCTTCTCTTCTTTAGAACTGTGTTACTGTTTTAACTCTTGTGCTTTTCATAATGCAACACTGTCTACCTGCTCTGGGAAAGCTGACAGCTAATAAATCACTGGTCCAATTTGTGCAACCTCTCAATTTTCTTGGAGAGTTTTACCATCTGCATTCTGACACTTGATTAATGTGCAAATTGATGATCTGACATTTCAAAATAAGATACTGTTTCACACACCCATATGCTCTCTCTCTATTGTTTTGAAATTGTCTGCCATTTTCTTGTGAGCTTTTTAAATAAATGTGGATCTGAAAAATTTTGAAATCCTAATTTTCTTGTGTTTATCAGTTGACCCTCTCTTCCCTCAAAGGCAGTTTTCTTAGCGTAAAATTCTGGTTTTAAGCATAGGAGAAGCAGAGACTGAAGAACTGCTTACATGTATGATTTTCCATACTGTAATGAAACTGTTCCAGCCTTTTCTTTAAAGGAAGCATATTTAATCATTACAACGTCCTTTATTTATTTAATCTCTCACAGTTTTATTTTTCAGCCTCCTTTTTGTACTGCTGATTATTTTCTTGCCGGCAGTGACTGATTGGAAGCATGGAGGAAGCTGAATGTTTCTTCCTGAGTTCCCTTACTGAATTTTTTTTCAATCCCTACATCCAATGTACAAGTGCTTTGGTGCCAGTCCTCTTGGCATGAACTGGCAAACTGCCCTAAGGCAGAGCTTTCTGCTGAAGGACTTCATTCTGCATAGGGAAGCTTCCATTATCAGAAGTGTCGTGTAAGAAAGCTTCCTTGATATTTGTGTGCTGCTGTCCTGGTTTGCTCTTGTGTCACGTGAGCTTTCTGTGTGTGGTCCTGTGTACTTACCCCTGGCCATACCACAGCTCCAAAGTGTTCTATGGACTCCTGAATGACAATCTGATGGCCAACGTATGTATAGTGCTCCTTATCAAAGTAGTGTGAAACTCTAGGAACCCAGTTCTGCAGTATTTTAAGAGTTACCGGTAAACCTGTGAGAGAAAAGTTGGAATTTCATAAGTTTATATGCAACTTGTTAAAGGGCAAAATGTATTTGACATAAACAGTATGTAGGCACATGAAGTAGAAAAGCTCTCAGGAATCATAGAATCCTTGTTAAATTGTTAAGGTTGGGAAAGATCTGGAAGATCATCAAATCCAACTATTAACCAGCCCAGCACTATGTTAATCGCTAAAACATGTCTCCAAATGCCACATCTACACATCTTTGGAACACTTTTGTGGGTGGTGATTCTCCCACTTTCCTGAGCAGCCTGTTCCAATGCCTGACCACGCTTTCAGTGAAGACCAGTTGCTGTCCAAAACCAGAGAGTCTGGGTGGCCAGGGAGTGAAAGGAACAATGGTCATTTCCTGCCATTCTAGGTATTCACATGGCCAATTTAGAGACAGAAATGAACCTTTTAGGAAAAGTTACTAATTCAAATACAAAACTGCTAATAACAGCTGGAAGACTTTCAGGATCAAGTTAGCTTGTATTTTGGTGTTTGTGCTGTTGGTTTCGTTTGTGAGGCCAGCAGCTCTAGAACAGCAAGCTTTTTACCTAAGGACTTAGGATTTACATCCTACATTGAAGGAAACCTAACTCTTTCTTAGTGGGTTTTTTTTAAGCGTCCTTCCACAGAAGGAGGGTTGTAAGACACTTTTTATGTTGGCATACGCAACATAGTTCAGCAGGTCAGTGCTACAGTTGTCCTAGGGTGTCTCATCATAGCAAGGAAGCTCGTGGGTGAGGTTTTTCAGATTTGTGCTGAGGCTGTTCCATCTGAGCTCACTGAAAACAAGGACACTATTCTGAATGACTGAACTTTTGTTGCAAGGATAGGCGTAGAATTAAGTGCAAGGGAAAACTTTGCTCTGGCTTGCAGGGATTTTAACTGATGCCTGCCTGGAATCCTTACTAGCTGCTGGTTGGAGCAGTTTGGCCTGTTGAAATCTGTAATGCCGTGGCTTCAATAGTGCCAGCCCGATCAATGCCTATTATAACCATATCTCTTTTTTAAGAGATTGTAATTGAGAAATAATTCTTAGATGTCTAAGTAAAATCTAGAGACCTTTTAAAATATATTTCTTAATTATGGAGATAGGTATTTTTTGTAGATTTGAACAGATAATATATGCAAACATAAGGGGAAATAATGGGGAAAATTTGATATCAAAGAAAAGTTACATGATGACATCTACTATTTGAAGACGGACAAAAATCAAAGTATGATATGCTAGCATGCCATAGCAATTGCAGTATTTAAATTGGATTAAACCTGCATCAGATTCCGCATGCTCAGAGCTGCAAGTACAGTTTTCAGAGTCATACTGCTCTTCACAGGTTTCTTCTTCCTTGGATTGGCAGTCCATTGTTCTTTGAATTTTGTTGGGGAATGGTTGCTGCTGTGCAGAGATCATCGAAAAAGAGCTGAAACAGAAGGGGAAAAATAATGTTTTAAAATCTTGCAGGCACTCTGTTCATATGAAATATGACTGGAAAAACGGTAATTTAGGTGGCCTTTGGTGGCCTTTTGGGGCTTTTTTCCGTGATGGATTGAAGAAATCGGATGAGATGTGACATCCCCACTCCACTGGGTGGTACAAGCTGTTTCTGGGAATGTAATCATGCTGTCAGAATTTTTATTCTCTCTCCTTTATAATTTTTATTGTTGTGTTTATTTTATCATTTATGCAGAAGCTTAGCATTATGTCACTGAATTGATACCACTAGTCAGCCTGAAAATTGAACTACTCTTACAAGTTGAAGTAATAGCTGAGAAAGATAACTGCCTTAATATCTGTGACTTTTTATGTGTAATTTACTATTTTAAAAAAACTTGGGACTTATGATTCCAGAGACAAAACTCTTTCATTTGCTGCAGTCAATGC